TGGAAAAGAGAACCCTCTACCATCTGTCGAACCTTTTGCAAGATACTTTCGTCCATCCATGGGAAATCACTCGCCCAGATTCAGGAGCATCAAGTATAAGGAACGGAGTCAGATGGGCGACTTTCAAGAGGGGAGTAGCGTGTGAGTGGAAAAGGGGAAAGAGTGAAAGACCCTTGCCCTTCACCATCTGTCGAGCTTGTTGCACGATGCTTTCATCCAGCTCAGGGAAACATCGATGCTCAGAACGGAGTCAGATGGGCGCATTTTTGCGAAGAGCTGCGTGTGGAAGTGGGTGGTGGTAGTGAGATGAACTTGAAAAGGGAAAGTGAAGTATTTATATAAAAAGTGAACCTCTCTTGGGTGTACACATTCTGTAGACTTTTCGTAAATCATACGACCATAATATTATGCTAGCAGACGTGTTTATGGCAAAATGGAATTCAGCAAAAGCGACTCTTATAGTAGTGAGATATGGAAGCTAATCCATTGGGGCAGATCTATCAGATGAGAAGTACGCGCAACATATCATTTACACGTTGGACTGTAGAATTGACTTTCAAACTATGCTCTACCCGTCTATAGAGTTCAACAATTAATTTTTGCCCTTTCCATTGTGTCAATCATGTATGCAGAGTGTATAATCAAAGACTGTCAGATGGACTTCCAATGGCGATAGATGCTATTTTTAGTTACAAGTTTGGAAAGCAAAGAGGATATTTCTTATCACAAACCTTGTTATTTACAATTTGTCAGATCCGTTGGTTCTTATGTACCGTCCGTTGAACCTGATTCACCATCCGTTGAACATCATGCACAGTCCGTAGGATTTGATGTACCGTCCGTTGGATTTGATGTCCCGTCCATTGAATTTGATGTCCCGTCCATTGAATTTGATGTCCCGTCCATTGAATCTGATGTAGCATCCGTCGTAATTGACTCAGCATCCGTTGAAAATGATATACTGTCCGTTGAAAATGATGTACCGTCCATTGGATTTGATATACCGTCCGTTGGACCTGATTTGCAACATCTACTTTGTTATCAGGATAGCATCAGTAGTACATTTCCATGAAATTGCATAACAATGAACAAACTTTTTCGTCTGACTACAAACATTTAAAAGGAGGCCTTTTTTGAAAGTTGAAAATCCCCCCTCCCACATTCATTCTTCCTTACACTCACCCATTCTCCTCTTACGTTCTGCTTCCACATCCACCACCACCACCTCTTACACCTACCAATTCTCCTCTTGCGTTTTGCTTCAAGACCCACCACCACCACCTCTTACACCCGCCAATTCTCCTCTTACGACTTGCCCACCACCACAACACAATCTCTTATACCCACCAATTCTCCTCTTACGTTTTGCTTCAGCACCCACCACCACAGCCTCTCCGCTGCAGGCCTTTCAATCATTACAACGAAAGCACCGCCGATAGGATGACGATGAAGATGACGATGAAGAGGACGACGATGATGACGATGACGACGACGACGATGACGATGAAGAGGATGATGACGACGACGATGAGAAGAAGAATGACAATGATGAGGAAGATGATGGTCGTGGTGGTTGTGGAAAGATACTTAATGTTTGTTAATCAGATGTAGTCATGCTGTCGCCCATCAAAGGATGGGCAAAATGAGTGCGTTGTGAGAATTAAATTAAGGGATCGGATGTCTATGACACGATCATGAGTGAGTGAGGTCGTGAGTGAGTGTGGCCGTGAGTGAGTGAGGTCATGAGTGAGTGAGGTCATGAGTGAGTGAGGTCATGAGTGAGTGAGGCCATGAGTGAGTGAGGCCATGAGTGAGTGAGGTCATGGGTGAGTGAGGCCATGAGTGAGGATGGCCATGGGCGGGTGTGATCATGAGCATGTGTGATCAAGGCGGAATGTATGCCAAAAGAGTACATTGATTACAAGTACAGCAGCGGTTGAGTAATGGTACACTGATAGTGCATCAGGTCTATCGACCCTGTCGTTGAGATCCTGCGATACACCATCGTTCAAATTCCACCTCTCCGAACCGTAGAAGGCTGGTCGTGCCACAATCGTTCACAGCAACTATTATGTTCCTGCGTCCCGATTTGAGTGGTCCATAGATGGTGATGAGTAGGTTCTGCTGTCCGCCGCGTTGTGCATGACGGCCTTTTGTCCTTCTTGGCACTTGACAGCCGGTCGGAAGGTGTACGAAGAGGGTCGAGATGAAGTCCAGTAGCCTAATGAATCGATGGCTTATCCTCTCTATGGAGCTGATCTGTGAGATGATGGCACCATCTTGAACCTGTGCATGTGCCTGCTATTCTCATGGCTCCCCTTTCCATAACTCTCATCATTCCTCTTTCTCTGCTGTTCTGCCATCTTCCATACCCTTTGTTCTTCCTCATCCAATTGATCCAGATCTTGCGTTGGAAGTGAAATGGATATACGTTCAGATAGATCTGCAAATGCGAATGCTCTCCGTAAACTTGTATGTCCCACGTCCATCACAGGTAATTGGTATTCCCCGTATTCATCATCTCAGCACTGCGAGAGCTGGTGATACTGTCACCATTGTTTATTTCTACCTTTTCGAAGCCCTCTTATGTAGTTCACCTCTATTTGAGAGAACAGGTGTGATCATTCCTCCTGATAGATTGTCCGCACTTCCACTCATCTTCATCTCCTTTCGCATATGGTCACAGCAACATCGTATACAGCCAAAAAGAACAAATGACGACAAGTGTGGTGACCGATGCGATATACAAGTCAAGGATCAACAGCGCATTGGATCTGGGCTTGATCAGCAATGCATCCCTTATCTCAAGAGCAAAACGAGCAATCGAAACGAGACTCGATCAACTATCGAATGCCAACTTTACACTTCGGCCTTTTGGTGTCCAACTTTACCACAGCTAGTGACAATGCAATCTGTGTATTGATAGGATCCGGAGTATCATCAAGTAGTTCTGGCAGTCTTTGCTTTAGCGATAGAATGCCATGATCAGCCAGCTTATTTGCATTCCTATACCGTCAACGTCATACTTCTTGTTTTGTTTGTCTCCATCACTTGTTCCTTCCTCTTACTCTCAGGTTCGGCGTCGGTCAAGTGTTTCTTTTGTTCAATTGATCGATCCGCTTGTTGGTAAGAACCGGATGTGTTAGCTTGAACCGGCAAGAAAAGAAATCCTCCCACGCATGCACGCCTATGCCCTTCTTCTCCTCCACAGTATACCCCACATTCCTTCTCCATGCACAACGAGAGGATTGTCTTTGTGTGACTAGATAGATAAGGAATCGTATCATTTCCTCAATCAAAGAACGGTTGACTGCGCATCCGAATGAATGACTATACATCACTAGAAGAATGAACAATTTTTACCGGGTCTGTGCATCAGATGGCGGGCACCTTAACAGTCTCTCATGTAGAATGAATGCGGAGTAAAAGTTGTCCTTCTAACAAACAAACGGAATAAAATGAAATGAGTTGCTCACAAACAAATCATCCTCTTTACCTTCATCACCCTTTTCTCATTCTTTAGACAAACTCTTCTCATTATCATTTCCAATCATGTCTTCCAGCAACGTTGAAGAAATGCCAGCAGCCGATATTCCTCTACAGGAAGGCTACATCGGCAATCTAACAGAAGATCAACATTCTTCTTTAGTAAGAATGTGGGAATCATACTTTGACATTTGTGATCGTGCAAGGGGAAATGCATCAAAAGGTCAAGGTTTCACAGAAGATAAAACTGGAGGAGATTTAAAAAAGAGCGGTATCCCGGACGATGATAAAGCAAAAGATGAAGCAAAACGACAACAAGAACAACAAGGCATGAACGCTTTAATGGAAGAATATGGTCCTGAAGCTTTGCGTGATTCTTGGTGGAACTTTGTTAGAGGTGATAATCCAGACGGAAATATGTTACGTTTCATTCGTGCACGTAAAGGAGACGTTGAACGTGGTTTGGCAATGATGGCAACATGTTTGAAATGGAGATTGGACACAGATGTTGAAAGTTTCATCCTCAAAGGTGATCTTGTCAACTCAGAGGAAATTCCAAAGTTTCTTGAACAACAAAAGTCAGGAAAGGTATTCTCTCTGGGTTGCACAGCAAAGGAGCAACCAATCTGTTACGTCATCATGGCCAAACATAGTGTCTTTGGTCAACCTGCTGCTTCCATGCAAAAGTTCATCGTCACTCAAATGGAAACATTCCGTTTGCTCATGCATCCTCCAAATGACAAAGCAACAATCTTTTTCGACTTGAAAGGCTTTGGTGTTAAGCAAATGGACTTTGTCAGTTTATTGTATCTCGTCAAAGTATTGGAATCTTACTATCCAGAATCCTTGGGTACAATGTACGTTTCCAACGCTCCTTGGATCTTCTGGGGCTTCTGGCGTGCAGTAAAGAACCTTTTGGACCCTGTTGTGCGTAATAAGATCAAATTTATCGCCAAACCCGAAGATACAGAAGGTGATGTTCCAGAAGATATGATGATCGAATATTGCGGAGGAAAAGTTTCAACCGATTTCGAGTTTGTCGATCCACGCAATGGGGAAAACGACCCTCAACAAGACAAAGAGACAAAAGAGAAACTTTTGAAACGTCATCGTTCGTTGACAGATAAATACGAAGAAGTTACTCGTGCATGGTGCAAAGCAGGCGGCAAGGATGATAAACTTCAAGAACAACGTGACATTTTGGTCAAAAAATTACGTTTGAGTCAATTTGAACTTGAACCATACACTCGTGGCTTGACAGCATATCATCGTAATGGTGTCTTGCCACCTGAAAATGCCGGTATCTCAGTCTTTGATTACCAGCAAAAAGATGCACCAACCCGTCGTCAAGTTTTGGGTCGTAAATCTTGTCGTAAATCGATCGAGCAACAATTGTATGCTATCGTCAAAGAGCGTAAAACCGTCAAAGAAGCTGAACAACAAACTTTATCTGCTTTGAAAGATGGTTCTTGGGGTCAATGGCGTGTGAATGATAACTCCGAAGAGATCAAAAAGACTGCTTTGGCAAGTTTATTAGATTTGGACAATACCGGTGAACTAGATCTCAAAGCAATCGATAATCCAAATGGAACACAAGAAGTTGCTGCTAAACAGAGCCCAGATGACATCGTTAAGCAACATCGTGAAGCAGCAGGTGTTGCAGGCGGTCTTGCTGCTGCTGGAGGTGCTGGAGCAGGTGCAGCAGCAGCCGCAACTGCATCTCACAAGGATGCTCAACCTACCTCCAATGGACAAGATGCTCGACCTACTTCCAACGGACATGCTGCTCCTGAAGAAAACTTCTCCGATGCACCGCCCGCTTCGCAATCACAAGTGAACGGAGCAGTAAATGGCAATGCTCAAGCAGACAAACAGCAAAACGGTGTTTCGCCTCAACAAAATGGAAAAGTGAACGGGACGACTGATCATTCTGATCAACCTACGTTGGATGGGGGTAATAATGCCCCTCGTCCACGCGGTCAAAGTGCTTCCCAAGGTCCACAAAGCGGTGGTGCAACGAATTATAAAGGACAAGAAAGTCCATCAACAGGAAAGAAGACTGGCTTGCTTGGATCGATTAAGAAGAAGTTGGCTGCTTAATTTGTTTTGTGTAAATAGCTTTTTTCCCGTGTTTCTCTTTTCCTTTTTCTGTGATACCTTTCCTCTACTCTACTGTTCCTTTATCTTTTGAGTTAATGTGATCATCATATTGCCTTGATCGTTGTTGTAGAGTGAGAATGCATGCTATGCCCGAGCCCACGTGGGAGGTCTGACCCCAGTCTTAGAAAGCGTATTGAATATGCACTGCACGCACTATTATAGTCTGACTAATGGGACTGCAAAAACGTTGAGCAAAGAAAAAAGAGGCGCGGGCACTGCAACCCAATTTGACTTAGGTGGAAAAGTTTAACTTGAAACTGCAAAAAAAGTATCATGCACTGATGAACACTGTCCCGGTGCTGAATAGGAATTTTGATTTTGAGAGAATCTTCTTAAATTTGCATGCAAGTGCGCACGAGCATGAAACATGAAACCGACAAACGACCCGATCATTCTTATATGATTAGTACCATCATCGTATAAGTGACACTGGACACTCTCTACTTCATTAAAACCTTTCAGAAAAGTAGGCGGAGGGATAGAAACAGTTTTTCTCGTTCCTCTTATTGGAAGAAACCCTTGCACTTCATCTCATAGAGTACTGCCACATCAAAGTTTATCAAAGTCTTTCTCCCACATATTCCAGCAACGATGGCCATTGCACCCTCTACAACACCTCCCTTGCAAACTGGTGTAGCACATCAGAGGGAATCCAGCGTTGATAAATCAACAAGTTGGAAAATTACAACAAAGATTGCCAAAGCACAACAAGAAGGTAGAATTTGGTGGTCATTCGAATATTTTCCTCCAAGAACGCCACAAGGTTTGACAAATTTGTATGATCGTATAGAACGTATGTCAGGATTAGGTCCTGAATTCGTTGATATCACTTGGAACGCAGGCGGTCGTACATCCGACCTAACTGCACAATTGGTCAAAACCGTTCATACATATATGGGTTTGGAAACATGCATGCATTTAACATGTACAAATATGCCTCGTGATAAAGTTGATACAGCTTTAAAAGAGGCCAAAAAGTTTGGTTGTAGAAATATTTTGGCTTTGCGTGGCGATCCTCCTGCCGGTGCATCCGAATGGGAACCTCATGCCGCTGGATTCATGTACGCAAAAGAGTTGGTCGAGTATATTCGTGAAGGATATGGTGATTATTTCGCAATCGCTGTTGCCGGTTTCCCAGAAGGTCATCCTGAAGCCAAAGATGGCGTTGATTTGGAGATGAAGAGATTGAAGGACAAAATCGATGCAGGTGCTGACTTCATCTTTACACAAATGTTTTACGATTATGACATCTTTGCTAGATGGGTCAAGGATGTACGTGCAGCTGGCATCGATGTGCCAATCGTTCCCGGTGTGATGCCGATTCAAAATTACGGTGGTTATCAACGTGCCACAGCAAGATTCCGTACAATCGTCCCAGAGAGTTTCAAGCAAGCATTAGACCCTATCAAGGAAGATGATCAAAAGGTACGGGAAGTGGGTACGCAGTTGGTGGGTGATCTATGCAAAAAGATTATCGATCCTGCCAACGGGCTAGGAATCAGTGGTTTGCACATCTATACTATGAATTTGGAGCGTGGATCACGCATGTTACTCGAATATCTCAACCTACAGCCATCCGTGCAACAGGTCAAACAATTGCCATGGACACCAAGTCTAACACCCAAAAGACGAGATGAAGGTATTCGACCTATATTTTGGGCTAATCGGGCAAAAAGTTATGTCGATCGTACAGAGACGTGGGATGAATTCCCAAACGGAAGATGGGGAGATGCGCGTAGTCCTGCATATGGCGATGTAGATGCTTATGGTGTCAAATTACGCTATACACCAGAGGAAGGAAGAGAGTTGTGGGGCGAACCAACAGATTTGGAAGCAGTAAAGGAGCTATTTTGCAACTTCTGTCGAGGCAAGGTTACAGCATTGCCTTGGAGCGAAACTCCGATCGCAAAAGAAACGACAGTGATTGATGAAATGCTACAAAAGCTTAATTCACTCGGTTTCCTTACAATCAACAGTCAGCCTGCCGTCGATGGTGCACCAAGTGATGATCCTGTGCATGGATGGGGACCAAAGTATGGCTATGTATATCAGAAGGCATACTTGGAATTCTTTTGTGCACCTGAGAAGTTGGATGCCTTGATCACACGCATTGAAGCCGATCCAAGGATGACATATCATGCAGTAAATGCACAAGGTGATATGCGAACAAACACCACTAGCGATTCACCCAATGCGGTCACATGGGGCTGTTTCCCACACTGTGAGATTATCCAACCAACGATTGTGGAAACAATCTCCTTCTTAGCATGGAAAGATGAAGCATACGAGATCGGACGTCATTGGGCAAGAGTCTATTCACCTGATTCACCTGCGCGCAAATTGCTGGACGAGATGTTCAAATCATACGTTTTGGTAAATGTTGTCCACAACGATTTCAAGGATCGACATGGAATCTTTCAACCGTTCTTAGATGTGAGCACGAAATTGAACGGATCAGCATAATCTCCCTTCTCACATCTCCACGCATACGTTAGCATCAACTGCAAACGTCTTCAAAGCACATTTCACTCAGAATTACGTAATTCAACATTGTACTCTATTCATCCCAACATAGGCAAGAAGCGAGGCCAGAATCCTTCCACAGGATACCCTTAACATTGTACTCTACTTTGCTCCATTCACGAAACACTTTACGATTAGAACGATCCAACATCGTTTGACAGATCCCAACAAAGGCTTCAGTTTCAGCTAATACATCCATTCCTGCTATTCAATGTGATTAAATTGAAACTATACGTACATAAAGGATAAAGGCAAAAAGATCATCTTGAAACAGGTGTGGAGCTACTGCCACCAGAAATTGTTGCCTGATGACGGGCAAGATTACTTTCGGGCACAGGTGTATGATCACTAATCGCATCAATCTCTTGTTTTGCCTCTTTCCATGTTTCCAAACCTGCTTTACAGTAATCACGATGTAATTGTGCAAATGCTGAAGTCATCGAACGAAAATCGCGAATCTTTTGTCGTTGAAATCGATCAAGATCAGATTGAATTGCCAAAGTTGCATTTCGTAGATCTTTATCGGTCAATTCCAAAGCTTCATCCAATTGTGCACAATTATCTTTCAAACGAGAAATCGTATTGCGTCTCGTTGCTTCTGGATCAACATCCATCACTGATTGGAATGTCTGACTCAAAGCGCCCAATAAACCACCTCCGCCACTACTACCATTCCCGCCTCCCAAACTGCTTGTTCCAGGCGTCCGTCTTGCCTGTCGTACGGTTCCGTTTCGATTATTTGGCTGTTGTCTTGACTGTGGTCCACCAAATGCATTACCCCCATTTGTAGCTGTTGGAGGTGAAGTTGGTCTTGAAGGACTATTGGATCCTGTCATGCTTGGATCTGTCCATTCTTCGCTATCTGCTAATCTTTCCGAAGATGCGTCTATTGCACTTGGCTTGTTTGTAGGATCACCTTCTGTTTCCGCTGCTGATCCATACACACTTTTGCGCATCGTACTCGCACGGGAATTGACTGAGTCCCATACGCCTTCTCTTGATTGGCCTGGAGCATTCACTTTGTTGTATGTTGCTGCATTGCCACCATTATTGGCTACCAGTCCTCTTCCGCCGCTTTCCAATGCTCTGTTTAATCTTGTAGCTTCTGCTTCTACCCTTTCCAAGTCTTCCAACTGTAGTCTCTTTGCCTCCAATGCATCTTGTGCCATTTCGAGTTGCAAATGCTTTTGATGTCTCCATCTCAACAATTTCTGGAGTACAGATGCAAATTGAGAATATTCATTCAGTGGCTCGGTAAATTGGGTTTCCCAATCGTGCAGCATTGTACCGATTGCCATGAACGTTTGATCAGATGCTTGACCAGTTCTTTCAATTGCACTTGCCAGTGCACCACCTTCCGAAAGACTGAACTCGTTCAAAATAGCTCCCAATTCTGCATAATCATTTGATGCCTCTGTCCATCTTTTCATCACCCTTCTGTTTGTCTTTTCAAGACTTCCTTGAATATGATTACGGAAACGCTCTGTAAATGCTTCGCTATCGACGAATCGTTGGTTAGGATTCTTTAGCTGCGTTGATCCGTTAGAGGGAGGAAGAGGCAATGCCAAGTAAGCTGGTGATGCATGAGGTGATGCAGGATCCAATGCAGGTGCACGTAGATTGGACTTAGGAAGCATGGATAGCGGAGGAGACGAAGTGATCTCATGCCAGCTCCATCTTCCGTCCAAGAATCTTCTAAAGATGACGCTTCTGCTCAACTTTTCATGATCTTTTACTCGATTCAAAAATACTTGTAGCATTCTCTTTCTGCGTGCGATGATTGTTGCATCCTCTTTTGCTTTTGATTGACGAGCAGCATAATCTGTCAAAGTGTGCTTGGAAGGGATTGGTGGAATGATCAAAGTTGGATGTAAGGCGACCAAAGCTTCACGCAATGATGCAAATTCGCTATATCGTCTCTTCGCACTTAAAGTGCCGCATTGAATGAGATAGGCAATATAATGACTTGCACCAACACCATCGGATGTTTTCTGTGCATCAATGATCAAGATCGAATCTTCACCCAATTCAGGAGCCGCACTGGGTTCAACAAATGTAGAGCTGTGAAGAGTTGTTTGAGCTCCACGTTCGCTCATTTGACCTGTAGGTGGTGAGAATGATCGATTACGTTCCATATTTGCGTTTTGTTCACCAGTTTCACCACTTATACCTGAGATTGTGATGCCACTTTCATTTTCATCTGAACCGCCACCTGGTATATTGTATGCATCCACACCTTCTTCGTTTGAAGTACCGATTGCAGAATCAACTTTAATCTTTTCTTGACCTGTTGGTGTATTGTTTGATTCTGAAGGAGGTGTTTGCGTGTTCTCGATTGCGAATGGATCCTGTTCAGCTTCTTTGCTCTGTTTCTTCTTTTGTGATTTATTTGCCATCTTTGTTGATAGCTGCCTGCTAGCAAGGATGAAGTGATGATTGAGTTAATTGGCTGAGTTGATTGCGTAGTGTACCTTTTTCCAACACAGTCGCCATGACGAGTGAGTGTGCTTGTGCAGAACGGCAACCCCATGAACGCACACACGCACACGCACGTACCTCCCAATCACCTTGTATTATAACAGCCAAGCCCAGAGCACAGCCAGAAAAGCCCAAATGAAAGTGGAGTCTTAACGCGTCACAAGAGATTGGCAAAGCAAAGCAGAGCATCAATCACGTGTGAGAAAAAGTCCATCTTGTGAGAATGCAAGTGGGGGAAAGTTGAGAAGAATTGAAATGAATAGCAAGATTATCACTTTCATACATCATCCTTTCAAACACATCACTTTAGCAAAAATGAACACAATACAGTGAAACAATTCGAAGAAATATACATCATGGACGAATGAAGTACCTCAACTTATCAACAACATAAAGACGATGGCATCAATATGGCGGTGTCGATCCAGGGTCAGGCTAAGGCATATACTATCAATCGATCAACCGATAACACTCTTTCGACATCCTTTTTCTTCTTGGTCCCCTCAGTGTCAGCGTAAAGCCCTCGAAGAGAAAGTTCCTCCTCCACCACAACCTGCAACAATATGGCGAAGACGCTCCCGTTTGCTACTTGAAGCACAGTCTAAAGCAAACCATCTTACACATGAAGCAAGGCCGGATTTGAAACTGCTCAAAGCCGCCATTTGGCACGATATCGGTAAAAATGGTAGCGAAAGGCTGTTCGCTGACAAAGAACAAACAGATCGAGTACTGGCAAGGATAACCGATTTGTATAATGAGATGGCACTAAAGGGAATCGCGATCGATAATCGATGGTGCCTGATTATGATCACCTCTTTTGGCAACATTCTTACGCAAAGAACTGAAAGTGCTGAAGGAATATCGCATGAGGAGATGCTTCACTATCTACGACTTGCCAGAAAGTTGTTTCTGGAAGTGTCTTCAGAATTGACTCAACCTAGATTCACAAACACTGCCCTGATTCACGGCATCTTAGATCTTGAAATGAAAGTTGCAATGACGCTTATTCGAGAGGCAAAGGAGAATCAAGATGTTAATCGTAGCATCATCATCAATGATCATTTACATTGGGTCACAGATATGGCAAATATAATGGCGACTAGACCCAAAGATGAACTATACCATCAAGATTTGATCAGTCTATCTTCGACCAAGGCCGGCACAACGACGATCAATCTTCATATCCTTCGCCGTGATTATGTTCGTGCAATAGAGTCTCTACGACAATTGCTAAAGCATGCAGCCAATATACCCAAAAGTACAAATGTCAAGGGAGAGGCACGAACGCTACATCTTCGCCGTATTGAACAGAACCACAATCTCGCTCGTGGTGCAATAATCAATGTTTTGGTCGTGCTTTGCAGAGATGTTCGCAAAGAAGGCGGCCACTTTCGATCTTTAATCAAGGAAGTCATCAAGATAGCACACGACAGCGTCGAAGATGGATTATGGGATATAATGAGTGGCGATGAGCAATCCCGATCTAAGTTAAGCAGTCGCAATGGTAAAGGACCTTCGTTTGATTTTGCACGCCTTTGTGTACGGGCGATAAATGCTGTCTCGCCTGCTACTACTAGGAAAAGAAGAGCAACAGAGGGTGTGATGTATGCAATGATTCATGGCGATGAGAGACAACATTGTGAAGATTTCTTTGATCTGATGAAAGTCATAATCGACATACGTTCCGCCACTGTTGCACGAGAACTTGCTCAAACACTCCGACAAAGTACGTCTGATGTACCATTAACCGACCTCGAACCAATTACACAACCATGGAGAAGATCATTTCGCTGGATATTTGATATCAATCGAGAGATGTCTGCTCGTGTTGTCTGGTGTCTGTTCTCCCCATGGTGTCGTAATGAGATGCGAATAGGTATGAGGGATCGAACGGCATACGAAGAAGCTCAACTTCTCGCAGACGAGGAAACAGATTTATTCTTGAAAAGGTTCGCTCTAGTCTTGAACGATTTTATGATCTTGTTTGGGATGAGTGAAGGGAGTTGGCGAGCAGCTGCGATCGCACTTGGAAAAATCTTAAATTTGCTACCATCTATAGAAGGAAGGAAACAGGCAAAAGAGATGTTTGAAGAAGCATACGAGAAAGCAAGAAAGAACAATTTTGGCGCTATACCACAAACAAAAAAATGATTCACAGTCATCATCATCATGTACTATAAAAGGCATTGTACACTACTCACACACGCACGCACAATAGATGGAATGTAATACAGAATTTCTAGAGCATATGATTGCATAGTGTACATTATGTGATTAGAGAATTGTGGTGCAGATCATGGACAGATGGCCTTGATTTGATCAATGACTTGCATGTATGCCTTGCTTGCGGGACTTTCGGGATATTCATCAACGAAACTTTCCCCAAGGTCGCAGCATCGGCCGATACGAGGATCGAGTGGTACACTACCCAAGAATGGTATGTTTAATTCTTCACAAAGTGCTTTTGCACCACCTGTAGATGGATAAAAAATATCACTTTGACCATGACAAGCAGGACAAACGAAACCTGCCATATTTTCCACTATCCCTAAGATTGGAACGTTGACTTTGCGACAGAATGAAATCTCTTTGCGTACATCTTGCAAAGACACTTCTTGCGGCGTTGTGAGCAGGACTGCACCGTCTAAACCTCCTGAATCACGCAAAAGTGAAACGATTGACAAGTGTTCGTCAGATGTTCCTGGTGGTGTATCGATGAGCATATAATCTAGTAACGGCTTGGTTGAGTTAGTGTCCTCCTCTTCTTCTTCCTCCAAACCACCAGTCCAATCGACATCGAGTAAGAACTGCTTGATCAATCCATTCTTCTTTGGCCCACGCCAGATCACCGCACTGGTGGGCGAAGGTAACAAGAACCCGATCGACATTGCACAAAAGTTATCACTAACGTAAACGGGTGACCAACCAGTGGAAGAAGTATGAATAGAAGAATTTGACAATCCCAAAATTGTTGGTATACTTGGACCACAAATATCAATATCCATGATTGCCGTATTCTTTTCTTTTTCTCGCGCACATGCCCATCCTAACATTGAAGTGAACGTACTCTTTCCAACTCCTCCTTTTCCACTCATGATTAAAATCTTTCGTTTCACCCTTTCCATTCTTGCTGCTATCCTTGCTAGATCTGGATCAGGTCCTTTTGGCGTACTTGCACATGTGGATTGATTTGGGCAACCTTCACATGCTGATGCCTTTCCTGCATCTTCAGATTCCGTTCCTGGACAATGTGCTGGTGCATTTTCAGGTACGTTATCAGGTAAAGCTCTAGCAATGCTTTCTGGTGGTAGAATATTTGAGCTTATTGCTGAGGTTGCCCCGTTCAGGGCACCTTCTGGCGGTATGGGATTTGGCGATATGATTGCCATCTTTTCTCGAATGTGATGATGGCCGTGAGAAGAAGAAATGCTATGCAAGTGTGGCAATAGGTAACGGCCGTAAGCGAATGAGTGCATGCATCCGATAATCTCTTATCCAAACGCGATTCTTTTTTTTATCTGACTCAAGACAGCGCACGTGCAATAGTAATGGGTGAACAATGCGCAAGTGGAATTCGAGAAGAACATGAACATGATCATCACCACTCACTACCTCCAATTCGGATAGCGAGGTACAATGTCGCTATTCAAATCTTTCCAGCCCTCAAAGGGCGACATTGCTTCATCAACAGCTGTCAAATCTTCCGTTCAAAGAGGAATGCGTCAAAAATTACTAGAACAATATCCAAGCCTTTCACAAGATGAAGGTGTATTACTAGAACAAATTTGGCCAAAAAAGCAAGGAATCACATTGGTCAAATTTAGTAGAGAACATGTTTCATTTTTGGTAAATCAAGGAGAACCACTCTTCTTCCAGCATTTTGATGGACCGTATATGCCAACTTTGCATCTATTACACAAATACCCTTTCCTCTTACCTTCTATTCAAGTTGATAGAGGAGCAATCAAATTCTTGTTATCGGGTGCTAATGTCATGGCACCAGGACTACTAACTGCTGGAGGAAGGTTGCCCGATCCGGCAAAAGGTGAGACTGCTTTGCCAGAAGGAGCACCTGTAGCCATCTTGGCACAAGATAAGGAATCAGCCTTGAGTATCGGCATTCTACGTGCTGGAACGGACGAAATTCGATCGAAGGGAAAGGGAAGTGTGGTCGACAACATACATTATCTAGGTGGTGAGTTTATCCGAATGAGAGAGGCCGATTCTTAGCTTACTGACTCATATTTTTTTTCTCCATAGACGACTTGTGGATCTCGTGCGCAAAGGGAGGTTTCTAATGATAAAATATCGCATATTCTGCAATTGTACTATTACAACATTTCAATAAACTCTTTGAGAGCTCTTCAATCATCATCAAACGGCATGCAAGCAATGATGTATGCTGAAAAAGAGAGGAATGGAAATTAGTATGGTTAACTCTTCATGAAAGACTGGACGAATACTCACTCCCGAAACTTCTAGTTGCGAATAATTTATGGTGTGGCTCAACCACTTTGTATGTGCTCTTTCCTGCTTCATTCTTTTCCGTTCTTTCCATCAGACCGGCCATACCGTTCAGACCGTCGTTGTCATCGCCGCTTTCGTCCATATCGCTATCGCTGGATTTCTTCATCTCTGCCTCTTCTTTTTCCATTGCTTCACCTTGATCTGATTCAGTCGTTCTTGGGATAGCATGAACGGCAACACGTTCGAATCCAACTTCTTCCATGGCTTCGGTGATCTCACGTAGACTCCAAACACGGAAATCATAACTGAAGTAGTCACGTAACCAGCTTCCATCACGGGTAAAACGGAAAGAAAGGCTCATCCTGAAACGATTTGTGGTATAATCCAAAGGTCCATCTTCTCGCCAATATTCGTACTCTCCTCCGACATGACCTTTGCGTACAAGAATCAATCTTCCCCTTGGCCATTGACGCCAATCAGCTGTGTCAGAACTGCTCTTTTGTTCGCCTTCCTCTCGAGCCCAGAATTCCAAAGGATCACCTTTTAGTGGTGAAGGAGGATGTTCTTCGCCCGCCCGAAGGAATCCTGGCTCTTTGCTGAATCGATTCCAAAGCTCTTCTTGTTCTTTACGCTCTGCATCAGTCTTTGCTTCCCAGCTCGTCGGTCCGGCAAAAGGATCAACAATCAGTACCCCGGTCTTTTTGCGCAATGTCCGTCTACATTGTGCCAAATAGGCCAACAAAGACCGACGATCATGAAAGTATGATAATGCATAGTTACCAGCATATATCAAATCAGGACTTTCCACATCTACACCTTCTAATCCTTTGATAGGTAAACTGAGAACGTCAGCATGCTGAAGTATTAATACGTCACCCTTTGCAGTAGGTACATCATCTTCAATTGTCTGATCACCTTCCTGAGCAGAGGGTGTTAATGTCCCGCTCTTCCGGGCTGCTTTAGCCCTTTCTTTTGCCAATCGGGCTTGAAACTTCCTCTCAAATCGATCGGAAGCTGCTCCTTCAGCCCATGTAGAAGGTGAAGATGATCTTGAGCCGCTGGCTTCTTGTGATGCTATTGAGTCGGTCTGGATCCTGTTAGCTTTGATGTATGGTAATTTACGGGAACTGCCTGAGTCGGAATATGCATCTGATTGTACGATACAGGCTGTCCTTTCGGCTCTTTCCGTTTCCATTAATCGTTTTTGAGCGACTTGTAATGCTTTTAAATCGATATCCACTCCTTGTGCTCTATGATCTTTTCCCAAGCTTAACCAAGTTTGTGCGACGATCGCGGAACTACAAAAATCTTCCCGTAAAATTTTTGCGTCTGGTCTATATGATCCTATAGGTTGGGCTTGATAATACATACTTGCTAAATTTGTACATTCCAACAATGGTTCTTGAACGGCATCTTCATAAACACTCAAGGCATCCACCTGTTCAGCAATCGTTCGATCAGCTTTTTGCTGACTTTGACCGCTTTCCGCTCTATCTGAGCTTGCTGTGAACTTTGGAAGTCTTGCATCCATCTCAACAACCATAGCGGGGTTTCTTCAACCAGTGAGGATAACGTAATAACCAGAAATGATGAAGAATGAATGCGTTTCTACAACAAATCTTTCTTCTCACAATCTTCTTACTTTTTTTTTTAAAAGCGGAACTCCATTTTGACAGGGAAGATGCCTTTGTTTGATAGAGTAACACAAGAGTAAAAAAAATAAGACTCTCTCCTGCCCTTTTACCCGAATTCCACCCAGAAACGCGTGAATGAATTATTGTCAAGCGTGGCTTCAATAGCATGCATGCTGCATGGTCGACGTGTTCACAATTGAATAAAGTATAAGAAGAAGCAATCCAAAAGGTTTCAATCATTACTCCTCCTTCTCTCTTTGATCTCCCTCGTCACTACAAACCTGCCCAACACCAAGATGGCTCCTTTGTTCCCAGATCGCACTCATCCGGACGTCTTGTGTTTGTTCGATGTGGACGGAACACTTTCTCCTGCAAGACGAGATGTTTCGCTAGAGATGGTTGAACTATTACAAAAAGTTCGTAAACATTGTGCGATCGGATTCGTGGGTGGAAGTGATTTTGCAAAAATAAAAGGTCAATTACAATTACCCGGTCATCCAGACATTCTTACCCAATTCGATTATTGTTTTTCAGAGAATGGGTTAACAGCATTCAGACTTGGTAAACCACTTGCTTCACAATCTTTTATCGGTTGGGTAGGTGAAGAAAAGTATAAAAAGATGGTCAAATTCATCTTGGGTTATATTTCTCAATTAGACATCCCTATCATGCGTGGTACATTTATCGAATTCCGTAATGGTATGATCAACGTAAGCCCAATCGGTCGTAATGCAAGCGTTGAAGAACGTATTGCATTCGAAGCATACGATAAAGAACACAAAATTCGTGCTACTTTTGTTGATGCTCTCAAGAAACAATTCCCCGATGCAGGCTTAACATATTCTATCGGAGGTCAAATCTCTTTCGACGTCTTTCCAACCGGTTGGGATAAAACTTTTGCTTTGGGTCATGTCAAAGATGATGGATGGCGTGAGATTCACTTTTTCGGTGACAAGACATACGAAGGAGGAAACGATTACGAAATCTACTCTGATCCACGCACCATCGGTCACAGCGTCACTTCACCTCAAGATACCATGCGTGAGCTCAAAGAGTTGTTCAAGATTGAGGGGTGACCCCCATTATAGATGTATATATTGGATTGAATACATTTGTTAGATTACAAAACTTGTCTACTGAGACGTTGTAAAGAGTTGAGCAACAAGTCTCCATCCTTGAGTAACTTGCTGTAGCTTCCCGACAAAAGATCAGGTCTGCGTGTTTCCACAACACCTTGTACACGATCAATCACTGCAGGCAATCGTCCTGTTGCAATGAATCGTGAAAGCTCTGCATCAATGAATCCAGCTGAAACGCCAAATGCATTTGCCATATTGTCCAATGTCAAAGAGCGATAAGATTCCAAAAGTTGAGCATAAGCAATGATACGCATCTCACGGACATAGTAGCGTGCATGTGGTGCCAATACACGAGATGTGAGCAAGTGTGTCTGTTCAACATCAGCCAAAGCTCTGAAGAAAGCTGCATAATCGCAACTATACAATGCGTTTGTATAAGCGCCAATGTGTGGAATGTCATCAACTACTTGCAACACTTCGGGAGAATTGATGATCTTCTTCTTCAACTCCGGACGAGGCAGTGTGAGAGTGTTTGCCAAAACGGTGAGAGTGATGAATTGATTGTAGTCGAGCAATTCCGTAGCTGTAAAGGTGGACAAAGCGTCCAACAACAATTCACCTCCTTGCTTGAAATCACGAATTGACAAAAGATGATATCCTTCGTACACTTTTAGTCTATTCCTCCTTTCCCAATCGCCTCCTTCTTCTACGAGTGCTTTTGCTTTAGCGATATTGTCCATTGTCACTTTTGGATCTCCATGGAACAATCCGATTCTGACCAAAGCCATTGTCAAATCAAGTCTTGCTCCCAATCCAGCTGCTTTTTCGATTGCAACCTTGTGCGCTTCCACTGCGCGGGTTTTGTCGCCAATCTTGGCCAAGTAGGCCGCCTTTTGCCGTAGCACTTGATTGACTTCTGTTTCACCTTCATTCTCTTCATTGACTTTCAATTGTTTCTCCATGAGCTCCAGTGTTTCATCATTCTTTGCTTTAAGCTTTTTCAGTAAAGCGTCGTCCCTCTTTAATGCTTTTGATATATGTGGTTCAGGACTGTCGATAATGGAAGCATAGTATGGTGCCATTTCATCCTCTTCGATGCCTTTGAGGAGAGCAGTCTTTGCAGATTCTTTTGCTGCATTTGATGAACCAGGTCGTATCACCTCGAACAGATGTTGTTGAAGAGCCAAATTTGGGATTGGTAAAACTTGTTCGTCATTGTCGGCCATTTTTGCAACAAACGAGATGAAAGCAACAAAGTCGAAGAAGGATTGAGGAGGACGCGAATCTCTCCACGTTGAGTGTTTTGGCACAAGCCAGTTCAGATTCGATTATTTAATCAAAATGCAATTACGCGTTTCTTCTGCTTTTAATACCTGCAGTCTCTTTTTGCACAGACCATAGAGAAAGCCGCGCAACGCATGCATTTTGGGTGTTGTTGTCGGAAGATTGCATTCATTACCACTTCTCATACAATCATCCTACACAAAGATGGCCATCGAACAAGGTGGACAGCTCAAAGCTGCAGAAGACGCAATCAAAGCAGGCAAAAATGCAGAAGGAGAAAGAATATTGAAACAAATTTTAGAGGTGAAAAGCAATGACGGTACCAGCAATGAAGGAACCTCTTCCGCTGATGAAGATAGCTTACGACAAAGAGAGCTGGCCTTAACAAGACTTGGTCAACTGTATCGTGATGAAAAGGATGCAAATAAGCTGGCTGAAGCCGTTCGTTCTTCTCGAGCACTCATGGCTTCCATCGCTAAAGCAAAGACGGCTAAATTGATCCGTACATTGATCGACTATTTTGGTGATATTCCAAATTCTAGCGATACACAAATTGCAGTAACAAAGGAAAATATCGAATGGGCACGAGGGGAGAAGCGGGTATTCTTACGTCAAAACTTGGAAACTCGTTTGATCGGGCTATACTTCGAAACCCGTGCTTATCGGGAAGCATTACCCTTGATCGATTCTCTCTTGAAAGAATTGAAGAGGCTCGATGACAAGATGATCTTAACAGAGGTGCACTTACTCGAAAGCCGTGTAAATCATGCAATCTCAAATTTCCCCAAAGCAAAAGCGTCCCTGACATCCGCACGTACAGCAGCCAATGCGATCTATTGTCCACCTCTCTTGCAAGCCCAGTTGGATATGCAAAGTGGTGTTTTGCATGCTGAGGATAAAGATTACACAACAGCATACTCGTACTTCTTCGAAACACTGGAAGGGCTGGCATCGCAGGATGATTCAAGAGCGCCACTAGCACTGAAATACATGCTTATGTGCAAGATCATGCTCAACCTTCCTGATGATATCAACGCAATCATAGAAGGCAAGCTTGCTCAGAGGTACGCAGGACGAGATATTGATGCAATGAAAGCAGTCGCAAAAGCACACGAAGACCGAAGTTTGGAACAATTTGAAAAAGCATTGAAAGAATACAAGGGGGAACTATCAAATGATGCCATCATTCGCAACCATTTGGCAGCTCTTTACGATACTTTGTTGGAGCAAAACTTATTGCGAATTATTGAACCATACAGTCGAGTAGAGATGAGTTATGTCGCCAAACAGGTTCGACAACCTGTCCGTGAGGTGGAGCAAAAGCTAAGTCAAATGATCTTGGATAAGAATTTGCATGGTATTTTGGATCAAGGAAATGGTTGTTTGGTTGTATTCGATGAGCCGGAAGAAGATGTGAGTGTGTGGGATCATGTGTGCTTACGAAGGAAGGTAACTGACACAATATTTCTCTTTCCCATTGACAGAAAATGTATGAAGATACGCTTGATACGATCAAGCATGTGTCGAATGTAGTCGATTCTCTAGCTGCAAAGGCAAAACGTCTTTCGTAGGAACTGTTTATCGTTCAAACAATCTCAATGAATGTACGATTGAAAACAACCTCTTTGACTCTTTGATAGCTGAACCGATTCAGCAAGATCTGTCTCACGTAAAGCCGCCCTAGCCTTGACCGCCGTATCGACTGTATGTGAGGAATTGAGTGTAAGTTGTGCTTCTCAATGCATACACCCTCTTTGCTGTCCAACCTTGTACCCAAAACCAGCATTCATCACCATCCAGAGTCCATCTGACAGACATTGGTTGTCTGTTCTGCATATGTGACATACAGAATGTATGATAAATGCGCACCCAAGAGAGGTCCTCGCAGGAACCCAACAACAGGGTCCAAAGAACTGATGCAAAATATAACATTACTCAACGTTGTACTTGCTATCAATGTACTTTATGGCATACATCCCGCCTTGATCAAACTTGCTGATGATCACACTCGCTCATGATCACACTTGCTCGCGGTCACACTTGCTCATGATCGTGTCATAGACATCCGATCCCTTAACTTAATTCTCACAACGCACTCATTTTGCCCATCTTTTGATGGGCGACAGCATGACTACATCTCATTAGCAAACATTAAGTATCTTTCCACAACCACCACGACCACCATCTTCCTCACCATTGTCATTCTTCTTCTGATCATCGTCGTCATCGTCCTCTTCATCGTCATCTTCATCGTTATCGTTATCGTCATCGTCATCGTCATCATCATCGTCCTCTTCATCGTTCTCTTCATCGTCATGCTATCGGCCGTGCTTTTGTTGTAATGATTGAAGGGCCTACAGTGGAGAGGTGGTGGTGGTGGGTGTTGAAGCAAAACGTAAGAGGAGAATTGGTAGGTGTAAGAGGTGGTGGATGTGGAAGCAGAACGTAAGAGGAAATTTGGTGAGTGTAAGGAAGAATGAATGTGGGAGGGGTGGGGGGGGTTCTCAACTTTCAAAAAAGGCCTCCTTTTAAATGTTTGTAGTCAGACGAAAAAGCTTGTACATTGTTATGCAGTTTCATGAAAATGCACTACTGGTGCTATCCTGATATCAAAGTAGATGTTTCAAATCAGGTCCAACGGACGGTACATCAAATCCAACGGACGGTGCATGTTGTTCAACGGATGGTAGATCAGGTTCAACCGACGGCATATAAGGATCAATGGATCTGACAAGCTGTAAATGACGAGGTATACTTGTAACTAAAAATAGCATCCACCGCCGTCGGAAGTCCATCTGACAGTCTTTGATGATCTACTCTGCATACGTGATATACACAATGGAAAGGGCAAAAATAATTTGTTGAACTCTATGGACGGGTAAAGGATAGTTCAAAAGTCAATTCTACAGTCCAATGTGTAAATGATATGTTGCGCGTACTCCTCATCTGATAGATCTGACCCAATGGATTGGCTTCGATATCTCACTACTATAAGAATCGCTTGCTGATTTCGATTTTGTTGTGATCACATCTGCTAGAATATGGTCGCATTAATTATGGAAAGAAGCGATGTTCACCCTTTGTATAAATACTTCACTTCCCCTTTTCAAATTCATCCCACAACCACCACCCACTTTCACACGCAGCTCTTCGCAAAAATGCGCCCATCTGACTAGGTTCTAAGCATCGATTTTTTCCTTGACTGGATGAAAGCATCATACAACAAGCTCGACAGATGGTGAAGGGCAAGGGTCTTTCACTCTTTCCCCTTTTCTACTCACACGCTTCTCCCCTCTTAAAAGTCGCCTATCCGACTCCGTTCCTTAAACTTGATACTCCTGAATCTGGGCGAGTGATTTCCCATGGATGGACGGAAGTATCTTGTAAAAAGGTTCGACAGATGGTGGAGGGTTCTCCTTTGTGAGATGCTAGATAGATGTTCCTTGCCCCTTCTTTCCCACATAATACAGCTACATCGACATAGATACGGAAATGGAGCGCCTTCTTTCGTCAAGTTGACCGATGCTGTCATGGACAACACCCATCACCTTTACGCCTCGTTCACACACTTTCACCAAATTCGGCAATGAAAGCTTATCGGTAAATAAGATTCTAGGTTATTCAATAAATGGTATAATGTACAATGTTTCTTTCTCGCCCTCTACAAGCTCTCCAACACTTTTTGTACAAAAGCATTCTCGCCGCAACGCTCACGATATTCAGCAACAAGAGATGAAAGAGATTCGGCCTCCGTACCATCCGAACGCATTCTCTTGTTGGAAGCGAAAGCACGCATGAACTCTTCAATAATCTTCATACCCTCTTCCGTTGTTTTCGCATCCACGGTGAGCAGTGGAGAGATCTCCCCGTCAACGTCTTCCATTTCTTCTGCTTTACGTTTGGCCAACTTGATCACACTGGGAGGGAACCCGGCCAATTCAGCTACATGAATACCGTAACTGCGATCACAGATTCCCGGCTCCACTTTGTATAGCAGTGTGATCTCGCTTTCCTTCTCTAATGCTTGCGAGTCGTGACGTGGTTCAACATGGACCTTACAGTGTAGGTTTTGCACATGTTTAATTTGGTCTGCCAATGCGACAATCTCAGCAAAATGACTTGCAAACAGACATTTGCTGCGAATTTTTGAAGCGATGAACTCTGAAATACTCCATGCCAAACCAAAACCATCATACGTTGATGTTCCACGACCGAGTTCATCGATGATGATTAGGGAATCACGTGTTGCCAATCGCAGGATCGTAGAAGTTTCCAGCATTTCAGCCATAAACGTTGATACACCTTTTGTTTGATTATCACCTGCTCCAACACGAGCAAGGATCGCATCAAATACCGGAACTTTTGCACCTGGAGCACATGGAACAAAACAACCTGCTTGACTCATCAAAGCGATGATTCCGATCGATCGAATGTATGTACTCTTTCCTCCCATGTTAGGACCTGTGATCACCAAGAATTCGCTCTCGTCGGGGACCATTTCGGCGTCATTTGGAATGAAGTTGAGATCGTCTTGCACTTCGAGGCACGGATGACGTGCCTCTTTGACGATCATAGGTGCGTTCTTGCCCATTTCGAAGATCTGGGGTCGAACATAAGGTATAGGTGCATGTGATGAAACGAATGCAAAGCTGACAATCACGTCCAAATTCGCAATGATCGCATTGAACTGTTCAAGCGGTGGACAATAGCCAGCGGCAATCTTGATGACCTGCTTTACCAAACCACTTTGATGGGTTGAATACTTGTTTTGCAGATCAATATGATCCACTGAAAGATCCTTCGCTTGACGTGTCGTGAACCAGACACCGGCTTTTGTCGTTCCAAGCTCGATATATTTGCTTGACTTCTCCTTCAAGGCTTTGCTGTCATTTCTGGTCACACGGAAGCAATAGCCATGCTGTTGAGAGTCTTCTAGTTTGACTTTCTTCTCGTCCATCTTCAAATCGCGCTTTACCTTGTTGTACTCTTCGTGCAGGTTTTCGATAGTTTGATCGATCGAGTCACGGATATTTCTGAGACGATCATCAAAATCCGGCTTGATCACAAAACGATGACGATCCAATTCGGCCAAATCGATCGTAGTTTCAACCATCTCAACGAGTTTGGCAAGAAGTTTACTTGACCGTTGTAATGGTTCAATAAAGGTGGATTGTATCAGCTTCTCACCTTCGATTACTCCGAAACCCTGCACTTGGGACAAGGTATCAATCAGACCGTCTAAACGGAGCACTGCTTGATAAGCGTTTACCACATCTTCCAAAGTGGCAACGCCTTTTTGGAATCTCTTGCTGTTTCGCTGCAAGTCAGGCATAAAACGTAGGAAATCGTTTTGCAGATTCTCACGAGATGCCGAATCCTCAACGAATGTCTCGACAAGGGTATGTCGATTTTGAATCTCGTGCACATTGACTAAAGGTTGTTTGAGCCATTGGGCTAGCAATCTTTGTCCTTGTGGTGTTTTGCAACGATTCAATAAACCGTATAGGCTTGCATTTTTGCTTGCCCCAGTCTGTCCAGGGTCATTGAAGACACCCATCGCACGCAGGGCAGGATGATCTACACGCAAGAATTGTGCTAGATCATGAGTGTAAATGTTGTATTGACCAAAGTTTGTATCATCGTTGAGCAAACTCAAAAAGCTAAGCAAAGCCTGCATTGATCCCATGGCGATCTTGAGATTGAGCTCAGGGATTTGCTCGCTCTGTAAGTCCTCTTTGAGCAGCCGGGTCACATCTTGCTCGATCGCTTTCGGTTGGAAGTCACTCCGTTTGCATTGAGTCAGAACACAACCAGCACGGTTGATGACAGTCTTGAGTTTATTGATATCAAAATCTGTGCAAGACTCATCTGCGGGAATCAGACACTCTTTTGCACCGATTTGAATCAAAAGCGATTCCGTATTGGCAAACAAGTCATTCTCGGCATACTCTGCCACACCCAATTGACGATTGGATGCATCGGCAAAAGCAGCTCCAACAGTTTTGACTCCATCCTGTACACGTGTACGCAATGCAACGACGATCGGAGATGTGTCCAAATCTGCGTCAGCAAAGAGGAGGTCCTCTAATTGTTGAAGATTGCCTGGCGATGCAAATTTTTCTATTTGCCAAGAATGTTTCTTTGATGTTCCACCTGACCAAATTTCGACCTTTAGTTGCTTTGCTGTAAGTGCTTCTCGCAGGAAGGCTCTTGCCATGCTTATATTCAATGTCACCGATGGCAAAGTCTCCTTGCCACGACCGAGTTGCTTCAATACAGACAAAGTCTTGTATGCAATCTTTGCCACCTTTGTTGCATCATCGCCATGTGCAGTGTAGAATTCCCCACGATCGAATAAGCGTACTGTATCGTCTGATTTTGGTTCCATCTTACGAAACCAAGTGATAAACCTTGTTTCATCTTGAGAATCAACACCTAAGTCTAGCTTATCAGATGTACTGCCAGAGCCACCACCATTACCGCCACCATACATAAGATCGGAAGCCATTTTGGAAGCTTTTTGTGGTTGAGAAGGAAAGAGGAAGAGGCGTGAAACACGAATGTATGCATGCATACGCACATTTACGCGTACTTTGAATAGAACAACACTTCTTCTTTCATTCACGCGTAAGACGTGTTCACTTGGGACAAAACAACCTGCCTGACTAATCAAAGCGATCGATCGGATGTATGCACCTGTCATCACCAAGAATTCGCTCTCGTCGGGTACCATTTCAGCGTCCTTGGGAATGAAGTTGAGATTATCTTATTCTTTCAATGCTTTTTCAAATTGTTCCAAATTTCGATCTTCATGAGCTTTTGCGACTGCTTTCATTGCATCGATATCCCGTCCTGCGTACCTCTGAGCAAGCTTGCCTTCTATGATTGCGTTGATATCATCCGGAAGATTGAGCATGATCTTGCACATCAGCATGTATTTCAGTGCTAGTGGTGCTCTTGAATCATCCTGCGATGCCAGTCCTTCTAGTGTTTCGAAGAAGTACGAGTATGCTGTTGTGTAATCTTTATCCTCAGCATGCAAAACACCACTTTGCATGTCCAACTGGGCTTGCAAGAGGGGTGGACAATAGATCGCATTGGCTGCTGTGCGTGCGGATGTCAGTGACGCTTTCCCTTCAGGAAGATTTTGAGATTGCATGATTCACCTTGCTTTCGAGGAAATGCACCTTTGTCAAGATCATCTCGTCATCGAGCCTCTTCAATTCTTTCATGAGGGACCCGATCAAGGGTAATGCTTCCCGATAAGCACGGGTTTCGAAGTATAGCCCGATCAAACGAGTTTCCAAATTTTGACGTAAGAGCACCCGCTTCCCCCTCGTGCCCAAACAATATTCTTCCTTGTTACTGCAATCTGTGTATCTCTAGAATTTGGAATACCAATGTACGGATCAATTTAGCCGTCTTTGCTTTAGCGATGGAAGCCATGTGTGTTTTGAGAAGTGTGGTTGAGAGGGGCGAACCGCTTCAGCCAACTTATTTGCAGACTTTTCGTCGCAATTCAATCAACCAAGTCTTATTAAAGCTAGCTCTCTTTGTCGTAAATTATCTACATCAGCGGATGACGACCATAAGGTACGGTACACCATGTGCACAAAGTTCGATGGCAAGATCGAAAGGCAAAAGAAATCGGAAGGCAAACGATGATACCTGGGAGCCGGGAGAATACTTAGGAATTGCCAATATCTCATTGACCAATATCTGACAAGAATTGGCGTGAAGAAGAAAACGAGTAATCGAAATCCAAGCTTGCAAAGCAGGAGTAGTCCAAACTTCCTCCCCTTGACATTGGGGAAAAGTGATTAAGATGAGCGGGAGGAAGTGTTGCAGGAAGAAGCGGAACCCTCGTCCGGCAACGAGCAAGACTTCTCAAAGGAAGCCTCCCCTGTCAACTCAAACCATTCGAAAAAACAATATCTAAAAATTTCTTGTTTTCATCTTACTTTCTCCTTGCATTTTCATGGCTGATCGTCCTCACATACCCATGCTTTGATATTAATCGAATCAAATCGGAGAATATATTTGAAGCCAGATATGAATGAGCGACTACAATACTTGACGATCAATGCATGACCAGCATGAATAAGAAGAATAAGTCGAAGTGAATGAAAGCAGTAGAAAGAGCAGTCGAATGATTGAGTTCGAGAAAGTTTTCTACTGTAGTCGTGCAAACAAACAAGCAACAAGTCAGCTTAACGATAATATGATTAGCTACTGTTGAACACTCACTGTCCGTTGAAGACGTGCTATGATGGGCTTGAATGTAAGCGAATCTGATAATGATGATCGAATTGGATCGATAAGATTGAGTTCTCCACTCAAGATAAAGCCTTGGCAGTTGAAACGGAAAGCATGCATTCCAGGGCGATTATCATCTTTCCATTCAATGTTTCTTCTTAGGTTTTTTGTTGCTGGGTGAATTGATTTTCTTAGGATCTGGATTGAATGATTCCATCCATAACAGATATTTCTTTCCCTTTTTCGCGGGTGTAGAACCATCATCATCGTCCCTCTTACGGATCATCTGCTTTACCATTCCTGCTTTATTTGGTGGAACTGCCGATGAAGCAACAAGTACCAAGACGGAGAGCAACAAAAGTAGGTGCACATAAATCTTCAACATTGTAAGGATTGTGGTTTTGCTGTACGTAAGTTGAATATACTCTTGAATATAGACGGAAGAAAGGATGGAGTGAGTAATGGAGTGAACAAACAAATGAATTCTGACAAAGTCTGCTATTTTATACATTTCTGACTTTTTTTCGTTTGCCAACGAATGATTGCGCCCACGACAAATGAGTGTTAAACTGATCAAATGCTGTCAAGGTCACAAAAATTGCACTTTGTTCATATCACTGATATGGTGCCTGCCAAGTTCTCAAATGAAATTCAGCAAGATAAAACGAATTACTCAGAAAGTCTCGGAGCCGCTTTGAATGTTAAAAAAGTGCAAAGGCCACTTTTATTATCCTCCTCTTGATTTCTGCCAGACGTCGTTTTCCGAAATGAATCGTAGTTTGAAAAAGAGTGAAGAAAAGAAAGTTCGTCAATCAGCCCCGGTGCAAACAATGGAACGAATTATTTATTCATCATCTGATTGATTGCCGTCAGGGGCACAATGTCTAAAAAAGTACATTCATTAATTAGTATTCTGAAGAATCACTTTTTGCACAACGCCTTTGCCAACCCTTTGTAATTCTTCAATGATTGCTGTGCGATTCAAAGTGACCTCTTTTGCGGTTCCACTTCCAACGACAGAAGAAGGTATGGAATTGAAGCCCAGACCAACTCGAAACGCCCTTTGTTTTTGGGATAAAGTTGGATTGAACATTCCGCCAACCAAGCAGCCACCAAAACGATCGTAATATAATCGTAAACTGTCCAAATAAAGTGATTCGATCAAATGAACAAATTCACTTCCACTGTCCAAATTAGCCAAGAACCCTTGTTGTTGTTGACTCAGATCGACAAAGTTACGATACATACTTGTTTTTTGTCCTTGTCTACGCTCAGATGCTTCCAACGCTTTTGCATCAAAGCCAAGACTGTCAATATACCGTGTTACGGCCACCGGTTCTAATTCTATGACAAAGTCAAAATGACTCAGATCAGGCACAAACACCGCTTTAACATTAATTTGCGGAAGGTATGAACCCGATTCCAATAATCCACATGCAGCCTTTGCTAATCGTTGAAGTGCATCTGCTGACCCGGCAGAGGGTGAATTACGTGCCCATTGTACACCTTTTGGTTCTTCTTCAGTGGCGATGAACCAGGCAAGGTGATGCATACCCGCGTCCATTCGACGAAGTTGTCCGAAATTGGCCTGAATGGAGCGGTGAATGCTTGATTCCATATTGGAAGAGGGCGTTGCAGAAGTAGCTGCCGTCATAGGCACAGCAAGAGGCGTTTCTTGCCAATTCCAATCTGCCAACTTGCGCAACGTTTGCAAGAATCCAAGATGACCTAAGCCAGGAGCAGAACTTGCCTCGATGTACACACTTGCAACGAGAAGCTCAATCAACTCCTCCGCCAAATGATTCCCGAACAACTGTCCATTGACCCACCTTTTCGTCAATCGAACGGCATCGCTGATGGAAGGGAAACGAGAAACGAGTGCGGACATATGATTGTGATGTCGAATAGCATTCGTGAATCTGACGTGGTACCGGTCCAACGCGGCCTTTGCTTGGGATTGCATGAATGGAGACTCGTCCTTATCGCCGATAATTCGTTCCAACAATGTCTCTTCACGAACATGATGTATCCTTCCTCGGAATGCGAATCCAGAAGCCAGAACAACTTCCAATGCTACTTTGTCCCATAGCTTGTTATCATCGGCATCATGATCGAAAACGATGTTCGTGCGACTTCCTCCAGGTAAGATCTCCAGCAACTTTCCACTGATTGATTCAAAAAATGCCATCTTCATCGCTTGCACAGCCGGTAAATCGTCTGGCCATTGTCCGGAAGATTCAAACGTCATGACAAAGTCCAGCGTTGGCAGATAGGATGCGCTCATAGAGGGATGGCCATGGATGTTAGCAGCACCGGGTACCATTGCACTTGTTGAGCGAAGTCCTGCATCGGTCGGCACGACGCTAATCAGGGAGAGTGGCAGATCTTTCAACTCTCTCAACTGCTTGGCTAGTTGATCGAATGCGGTGATGGCAGGTTGAAAGCCTTGTTCGGTAGGTGAGTTGAGGTACGCTCGAGCAGCAAGCGTTTCGTCTGGACTGCACAGATTCTCAAAAGCTGTAGAATGAAAGTCATCATCCTTGACTGTTGCACCAATGTGTCTCCCTATCACATACTGGGAGATACGACGAGGAATCGTAAGCTTCTGTGCTTGCCCTTTAACATTCCAAACAACACTTTCCACGATCCTGCCATCGCGAAATCGTCGGAGTTCTGACAGATCACCCCAAAATGCCTTGAACTCTTCAACGGCCTGAGTTTGCTCGGGACGTGGGCCATGATCTACCAACCTGAATGCTTGCGATACATCCAGATTGACCCCGACCTCAACAGTGGTTTCGGTAACACGACTTGAAGAGAGTGACCAAGATTGAACATTAGCTCCGAACACAGTCATCATTGTGTGCCGATTTGTGAGACCTTTTGCCAGCGTGTTCGACAATTGTTCAATCGCGCATGACAATGGCGATCCCAAATCTGCTTTGTCTTTTGCTGTTGCTTTGTATCCGTCCAAAGTCACATTCAACACATCATCAAAAGCAAAGGATGGTTTTGATCTATCAAGCAGGAACACTTCCTCAAATCGATCCTGATCGGCAGTATTCAGTAGTGAAAATGTTGCTTTTGCTTCACTCTGTAGATAGCTGATCGACCCTTCAGAAATATTAGCCAGCAAATTAATGCTTCCCGTCGGGTCGACCAAGACGTGTGAGAAATGTATTGAAAAGTCTTCCCCTGCAATCTTGTCTCTTCGTGAAATGATCTCATCGCTTCCTTTCATGAATACTGGGTGGGCTTTGAAATCGTGATGGGCCAAGAAATCAATCACTCCCTTGAACAGTTGATAGCTACTGAATTGGTGTGATAATCGTGAAACGGAAGCAGATGATGATGCATGTTGGGTTCTGTCGGGCCCGTTCAACAGATGGGCCAAGATCATTGTCAGTATAAATCGAACACTCGTACTGCCAAATGCCACCCTTCTTCCTTGTTCAGCGCTGGCCTTTCCCTTCAATTCCGCCTTACTCGGGCCACTGCCAAAAGCTCTTTGTGTGGCCCATGTCTTCAGCAACATTGATGCATTACCGAATTCCTTGCATGATGCCATAGTTGCATTGAGATAGATGAGGTGTTGCATATAAAGTTGATCAGCTAGAATGGCTGAGTTGTAGTGTGGCGTTGCAGGCTGTTCTTCTGTATCTTTCTCAATCCTGACACCATTTCGTGATGGTGCCAAACGGGCTGGTGCAAAAAGGTCATGCTCGTGTGCTAAATGAATCTTTATGCTTGCCTTTGATTTCGAAAAGTCACTCTGAGAGCCATCTCGCTTTGATTTGATTAGCAGGTAAGGCCTTCTGACATCTTCCTCAGTGGAAGCGAATGAAACATCAAAGCTGAGAGTTTCATCCGTCGATAGTGCTGCAGCGATTGTGGCAAGATAGAAAGCACGTTTGTAAAAGTATCGCAAATTCATATGATCTTTCTCTTGAAACAAGTGCGATGGCATCGTCAAGACCAAATCTACGTCAACGCCTTCCGGTCTGAGTGCAGCTGTTCTGAGCACCCAACTTCCGGCTACTTGCACCTTTGAAGGCTTCTCAAAGCCGAATTTCAGAGGAGAATCTGCTTTTGGTGCAGGGTCTGGGAAGGGGATCTTAACTTTTGCTTTGTATAGCTTAGATAGCCTTTTGGTTGCATCTGGAAGTGATGCTGCTTCGATCCCGTCCAATGACTCGAGACGAGATTTGATGTGACGCAGTACAAAGTCTAATGCATTGGATTTCTCGTACTTTGGTCGCACTTCCGATAGCATTTCTTCAACTTTGAGTCTGAAGATGTTGCTCTTGAACAGTTCAGTGGTGTTCTTGAGTTGGCTCATTTCATCTCGTGATGGGATGGCATAGAGTGACTTCTGTTTGCCATTTGGTCGAGTTGATGTACTAGCTTCTGCCTCTGCATCCTCTTCTCCAACATCGACAAAGCCGCCTTCCATATCTTCATCAGAGTACATATTGACATCCTCTCCGTCTTCCCCTTCTATATCTGACTCTCCTTCTGATACTGCTTCACCATTCAATGCGGCTGCCATCAGATCTTCACCATCATCAAAGTCGTCATTCTCGCTATCATCTTGAGAAGGTGGTGTTGGTTCTTTTCTTCCTCGTTTCGTTGAATCCGATTTTCTCGAAATGCTGGAATTGTCCTTGGCATTAGAGCTTTCAGTGTTCTTACTTTTCCTCTTTATGCCCGGCATTGTTTCAAGGAAATGATGGTGGACAACTTATGAAGTGAAGAAGGTATTGCATTTTAAGGCACTTGAGAAGCCAATAACTTTTTTGTATATGCACAAGAAATAAAAATTATCCGAATCTTCTTAAAAATTTGGTGGAGCGCTAAAGCACGTGTGTGAGTGAAGAACCGCGTTTGACATCCATCCTTATCATCAATCAATCAAGTTCATGGAGCATATATGATGGCATCTGCGGAGGTGGCTGATCCATCTTCACAGCCATCAGAGTCAGGCATAGCGTCAAGATCAGGCCAGGATACAGCTATGGCCGAGGTAGCCTCTGACATTCCAAGGTCAGGCGATCCTGCTTATCAATGGCTATTCTCTCAATCAGACATGTCAGATACGCCAAGCGTTCTACTAGCAGGGCTGACATACGAACAAGAACGCTTCAATCGATGGAAAGGCGTCCAGCTAATTTTTCGAATAGGTGATTATATGAGACTGGGAAATCATGTCACATGTACTGCATCAATGTTCTTTCAAAGATTCTTTATGCGAAAACAAATGTCAAAAGACGGAACTGCAAGATCACACGATACATTTGCATTCCCCGAAATGGCTCCAACTTGTGTGTTTTTGGCATGCAAAGTTGAAGAAACACATAGAAAGCTACACAGCATTGTTGAAGCCACAATGGCAGTCATGGATAGAACACCAGTTGGAATACAAAGGTGCGAAGCACACATGTATCGTGCAGATACCAACTCTAGAGATTATCAAAGGTGGAGAGATATTGTTCTGCTTCAAGAAGAACGTTTACTGGAAGCTTTGTGCTTTGATTTAATTATTGATCAGCCTCATCCTATCGCTTTGAAGGGGAGTATGCGAATTGGAGTTTCACGGGATATGGCACAACTCACCATTCTGCTGTTAAACACATTTTTGTATGGAGCCGTTTGCCTTTTTTATGATTCTGCAACATTGGCCGCTTGTGCGTTTCTCAAAGCTTGTCAATATACCGGTAAAGATCCGCAATCGTATCTCATCGGGACTCCTTACGCAGAACACAGCTGGAGCGAAGCATTTGATGTGGAATTGGAAGAAGTGGAAGAAGCGATCCCAATCATTGACGAGTATCTTGCTTATCATCAAGAGAAGATTGCTCCGCCACCATCCGCTGCGCAGTCAGCTGCTACCACACCTCTCATCACACAACATTCGTCTATAGGCAAAGAATCAACGAGTGCTACAAAGCAGCCTCGGTTTGCAGAAAGTCCGCTAATCCAAGAGACCAAAGAAGTTTCGCAACCTGTATCGGAAGATGCTGACATCTTTGCATCTACACTTCCACCAGAAAATCAAGAACAAAATCCCGTCGAACAAGAATCCAGAACGGATAGCTTTCGACCGATCAGCAGACACGGATCCAAAACAGGCAGCTTTGGACCTCCTCCGCCGATGTCTAATCCGACAGCAGATGATAGCAATGAGACACCTGCTGTTATGCCAAAGCCAACCTATACGCTACAATCACCCAAAATGAGCATACAATCCACCGATCCGCATCAAGAAGCAGCAGCTGAAAAAGTAGCACACGAACAAGCAAAAATGGAAAAGCAAGAAGCAGATAAAAATACCCAGGGAGAAGATGGCAGTGAAGAAGAAGGGGCTTTGTAAATCACATTTGTATCTTATTTCATCACTCTTTATTTAAGAGAATACTGTACAATAATATTGAATGGCTTTGATCGTAAAAGTACAAAAGAGAGAAAGGATCCTTAGTCATAGTCATCTTCCTCCTCTAAACTGCGCTTAGTTCCTCGTGCAGGCTGTGAAGATGCGGCGTTTGATGTATCGGCCATATCTTCGTCTTTTTGACTGATATCAACGGTATCGTCGACATCATCGTAATCGTCATCCTCTTCCTTTTCCCGTAGCGCAGCATCGTCCTGTTGGATTTGATCATCTTCATCACCCGCTGCATCCTCATCCGATCCATCCTCTGGAGGTGGATTTGGAACGATGGAAAAGTTGACATTTGTCAAACAATGTTGTGCTGGCGGTAATTTCACTCCGTATTTATCTGAAACAGGCGGCAAAGGAACTGCATTTAGCGAAGATGCCAAAGAGAGCAAGGCATCCTTGTTTGGTGCGCTTGTGTGACTAAAATTCATTCGATTCTGGATGGCTAACTGGACATCATCAACTGCGATATTTGAAACACCTGAAGCTGATTTTGAACTGTTTGCATGATCGGCATAAACCAATGCATCCTGTAAAACTTCATGTAGATATCGATTTGCGAATTCCAATAACATCATCAAAGCTGGAGGCTGAACATCTTGCACGCCCATACTTTGCAAGATCAATGCCATCAGTCTAGCATCGCGAGGCACATACGTCAGCCTTGAATTTGAGTCCCTCGTTTCATCGGCATTTGACATGATTGATGCCTTTCTTGATGATGGTCGGCGAGAAGATTGTCGTCTACCAAGCATTCATTTGCTGCATCCAAACTTACATGTACGCCGGCGCAGCGCAATGAAAGGCGCGTTTCCAGTACGGAATTAGAGGACGCCCTAATCTTAGTATATATATAACCTACAAACCAAACTTCACTCCTTCATTCATCGCCACCATCTCCCCCCCATTGCACAATGTCTGCACCAAGAAATGCTCAGTTCTACGAACTTTATCGCAGGACGAGGTAAGCATTTGCTGTCGTATTACTGATGAGGCACATATATCTCATCCCTGTTGTTCTCTCCTCCATATTAGCTTGGGCATGCAATTGACTGATGCTCTTGACGAATTGATTCAATCAGGTCATATCAATCCCGTATTGGCCATGCGAGTATTGACGCAATTTGATCGTACGATTGCTGAAACACTGACAAAGCAAGTCAAAGCAAAAGCAACTTTGAAAGGTCATTTGCATACCTATCGACTTTGTGATGACGTTTGGCAATTCGAAACAAGAGATTCAAAGTTGAAGCTCGATAATGGTGAGATCATAAACGTTGAAAGGGCTCGAATCGTCGCTTGCAAAAAGGAAGATAATGCAAGCTCAAAATGAACCATTCTTAGAGACAATCTTTGGGCGGGAATGCCTTGCCCTTACCATTAGACAGGCACCTGGCTGGAACCGTAGAATGCCTTTCCTCTTTGCTTCATCTCCTTTTCTTGTCGTTGTAAACATTGTACATGCTCTCATCTGTAATTTTATCCTCATTTGTTCGTCAGCTTGTCCGAAGTGGTAAAGAGTTGCAACAACGTAGAAGATCGACAATTCCTCCACTCACGGGAAGAAGTAGCCAGGATTGCGGATGTGTCATTACTGCAATGGGTGAAATGACAGAGACAGACTATCAGAAGGAAACACAGCAGCTTGAATCAATCACAAAACGCTCAATCGAACTCTCGACCAAAAAGTATCAGAACAAAAAATGCATTATAAACAGGAAAATATGCAAAATACAGGAAATAGAAGGCGAATACAAAAAATTGTTCATGAGTGTTCGTTCAATATGAAATCGTTACAAGAGTTCGTAAGAGCATCCAAAGAGTTGCCCTCTTCATGATTGTCGTCAAAATTTTGGGAGCATGCTTACTCCAAGCGAAGGACCCAATCGCTAAATTGTTTGCTACCATCATGTACAAAGACAGCAGGTTCGGATTTGGATGAACCAGGTGTGAAATCATAAGCGGCTTGCTTTTGATCAGCAGTTTCAGGTTCACCGCCTTGAGGTCCAGTGTATCCGATAAAATTAATTTCACCTGATTTACCCGGGGTATAGGTAAAGTATGAGAATGGCGATCCACTATCGTCGGAATAATAGCAATCACTTGCACTCAAGAAATCTGTATCGGCGTACAAACTACGATGAGTTGCGCATTTTGGTGGATTTCCTTTTGTGGCTTTTGCAGGTACGGGACTCAAATGACCATAAAAGACGCCATCCTTTGAAGGAGGGAAATTCTCAAATCCAGGTTGTCGAGTTTCAGTGCAAGCAAGGAAATCAAATTTAGCCAAATCTTTGTTCAAATCAGGGTATGAAGTCAATAAAGGTTCTTTTGCCCATGATTGATCTTCAGATGGAACGTGACCGTTTGTTTCATTTGCGAGATAATAATGTGTTTTGAAAGATGCATATCTTCTTTCGTTTGTTTTTGTGTTTACGAGTGATAGTGTTCCAGTCTTTGTGACTGAGCATTCGAGTGATCCTACAATTCGCTTTTCCAACGGAGTAGGTGAAGCATGAACAGTGGCAGCAGCCAAAAGAGCAGGAATGATCAAGTTTACGATTCCAACCATTATTGATGATGATTTGTGTGAGAATGAAGAAAGACGATTCAGATAGAATGAAGCGGATGGATGATGGGAATGTTTAAACGAGAATGAAGCTGATATATATACCTTCGCTTATTGATTGTTATCGGGGCTCAGACTCCACCTTGTATGCAGAGGCAACCTTTGTTGAATGGAGCCCACGGAGTTGCACCGTTTGCTTGATAGAAATGCAAATGGAAAGTCTAGCCTTTGCGACACGGACGGGCTTCTAATTTGTGTGTGTGTGTGCGGGGAGAGACTATTATTGTAAGCCACACGGTTATTGTGCTTCTTCTCTCTCTCTCCACCCGACGGGATTGAATGACTGCCATGCGTTTTAGCGTGCGGCAAATAAGACTCACCACATGAGACCTTTTGGATGTAGAACTGCCAACAACGGGGCACTTTAATGATAATATTCCAAAGCACGGATCGCTTGGATGTGGACATTGTCTCCTATGAAAAACTAAACAATTCTCCGCCGAAAAGGAGAACAGAACGGACTTGAAAAGAGGATCAACCTTAACCGAGAATCTGCAAAGCACAGCACAGCGTGCGCTACGCGTTGCGGATGGGAAATTTTATGATGAATGAATGTCTTTGATTGACACGGAATTGCGCCAACAAAGACAATAAAGTTTGCTTTTGTTTGTTACACACACATGGATGCATGGATAAACTTCAAGAAGGAGAAAAGCAACGCTTTATGTGACATGAGATCTGTGCCGATAATGAAAAGCAGATAAACTTCTATGACATCATTCGGTAGAAACGTGCGGATTCTATAAACCCTAGATTTGAACGTCTTGGCATTTCGGCGTGTCATAATGGAAGGAACAAAGCTTTCCATCAAATCATCTTCCTTCATGGCGTAACAGATGCCGCGATCCGGACACCGATGACTAGCTCTAACTCTTCTGACTTCCATCTATCGTCGTGACTCCGTTTGATGTCATTCAATGCCGCAAAAGACCATGTTATAAAATACAATTATGAAAACAAGATGTGTGTGTGTGTGTGCAACAACAAAGCAAGCATCAATAATGCCGAACATCCGGAATCGGATCTGCTCGAACAGTATTGAGATCTTGTGCTTTGTCGATTTCTGTATCTATATCTCCAATCATTGATCTGTGTATGAAAGAGAAAGTGTCAGCATATATCCGGCATCCAGATTCAGAAAACATAAAAATACTCACATAGCATCCCCTCTGACAAGATACAAACCCAATGGAACTTCTTCAACCGGTGCATCTGCACTGAATATTCTCTCCACACATCCGCTCAAAATCACACTTCCCACTCCATCCACACCTATCAGCTTTCCGATGATCACTCTTCCATCTTGTGTTAGGGTGAGAACTTGTTGATCTAGATATGCATGAAGGGCTGACATTATGCTGAAGGTGTATTGCAGACAACGATCATAGCAGATTAGTCACCTTTTTGATTTCACCAGAGAAGTTGATCCGATCTATCGCGATGATGATGACGGTTTTCTTGACCTATCAAAGCCTCTTTGCACTTCCTTCTCGCCTCCCAAATGCTTGTATGTTTTTTTAAAGATGGAGCATGAATTGTGTGTGATTGTGGTTGCTAATTATCATCTGGATGTATACGATCTTCTCAACTTTTAAACTTTTTCTTTCCTTGATTGTCTGTGCGCAAAGGTGGTGCGTCAGGAACACACTCACGCTCGTGACTTTGAATAGGGCGCGTTGTCATATGGCGCCCCCCAGGAAAGACAGAAAAGGCGTTTTAGTGCAAGAAGATCCAGCCGTACAGCTTGCACATCTTCAACTCAAAACTCCTAACCATCATTTCACATATACACCACACGACATAAGAAGAGTTGCTGGAAAGAAGCACCTCGTTAGACTTTCGGAAGTGGAATTCTATCAAAAATACTTGACATTATTGCGCTTGCTGGCAGGTGTGAAAGATGTTGGCCGGAAGAATAATGGGAGGGAAAGAAGGAAGACTGCTTACAATTTGTGTTGCACTTCTGGCTCTTTTCATCTTTCCCGCTCAAGCGATCAAGCTCGACGTAGAAGCATCGCATAATCCTCACGTAAAGTGTATATGGAATTATGCACTCAGTGATACGCTTGTCATCGTCACAATCAACACAGCCGTTCCATCGCATTTACCCAAACATGATTATGATGAACAACGGATTGATGTTGAAGTCGTTGATGGATCGAAACATAATAACATCTATTTATCCAAAAAGAACATCAAAACCGAAACACGTATGGCAATCAACACTCACAGTCATGCAGATTTAGGTGTTTGCGTCAAGAACATCCAAAAGAAAGGATCGAACCTAAAACATTTGGTCACAACGATCGATTTGGATGTCGATATCGGTGCAGATGCAGTGGATTATAATGCGATCGCAAATCAAGAATCCCTTTCAGGTCTAGAAACGGAAATGCGTAAGCTGGAAGCGGTTGCAGAAGAAATCGTAACAGAGATGGATTATCTTAAAAAGAGAGAAGAAAAGATGAGAGATACAAACGAATCAACAAATCAACGTGTTGAATTAACTGCTTGGCTTACCGTTTTGGCTTTGATCGTTTTGGGCGCTTGGCAAATCTTTCATCTTAGAAGCTTTTTCCAGAAAAGGTATCTTATCGATAGCTGATACTCTGGCAATCTGCTCTGGGTCAACTTCATCGACTTTTGCTACGAACTATCAAAAACTTAAAGGCACGCATGTAATCTGTCCTAATGAATATCATGTATAAGAGAATGTATGAAAGTTGCTGTGATCAGCATAGTGTTTTTGAAGCAAAGACTTGCGCTTAACTTAGATTTCCAGCACCACGTCTACCAAGACGAGAGAGAATGTCATCATTGAAGCCAACCGATTCTTGATCCTTACGAGGAAGGACACCATCGTTAATTCCGCCCTCTGAACCGCCGATAGCAACATTTGCAGTACCGTTAAGCTTTGTGGCGTTTGCGACTTTTGCCCTTCTTGCTCGGACACCTTCACGCAATGTATCCAAAGCGGTCACTGTGGTCTCCCAAGAAATGCAAGCATCTGTCACACTTCTTCCCCAGACAAGATCTTGCGGTCCAGAAGCGGGAATGGATTGTTTGCCATCCAAGTGGTTGCTTTCTAACATGCATCCCAAAATATTTTGACCTTCAGGTGCATCGGAGCTGAGTTGTTCTTTGATGCTGTTCACTACTTTGATTTGATTCTCGTGCTTCTTTTCACTGTTTCCATGACTGCAATCGATCATGATCCTAGGTTTCAAACCGGCTTTAGACAAATCTGCCGAGACTTTAGCAACATCTTCTGGTGAATAGTTAGGTCCTTTGTTTGCTCCACGTAAGATCACATGACAAGCATCATTACCACCCGTCTCAACGATTGCTGAAATGCCATGTTTTGTAACCGAAAGGAAGACGTGACTGCTACTTGCACTCTTGATAGCATCAACTGCGATACTTATTGAACCGTCTGTTCCGTTCTTGAAACCGATACTCATACTCAAACCGGACGACAATTCACGATGCACTTGAGATTCTGTCGTACGAGCACCAATTGCACCCCAACTGATCAGATCGGCAGTGTATTGAGGACTGATGGTATCTAGAAATTCCGTACCGGCAGGCAAGCCCATCTCTGCGATTTCAAGTAAGAGTCCACGAGCAAGACGTAATCCCTTGTTGATTTGGAAAGATCCATTCAAGTTTGGATCATTAATCAATCCTTTCCAACCAACTGTAGTTCTTGGTTTTTCGAAATAGACACGCATGATAATGCAAAGATCTTCTTTTGCTTGATCAGCGTATTTTTTCAGCTTTGCTGCATATTCCAGACCTGCTTTTACATCATGAACCGAACAAGGACCAACGATTACCAAAAGACGATCATCTTCACCTTTTACGATTTGTTCGGCTTCCTTTCTTCCTGTTACGACCGTATTGGCAGCTTGCATGGAAAGTGGATAATCTTCTACTAAGATTTGTGGAGGAATCAAAGGACGAATACTTTTGATTCGCCTATCGTCCAGCTCATTAAGAGCATCTTTGAATGTGATTGGTGTTCCAGACATTGTTATTGGTGGGATCTGATGACGGTTAGAAGATCAAAGAGTGTGGAGTTTCTTCTTGATTTTTTTTCTTCTTCTTCTTCTTCTTCACTGTGCATGCAGAAGAAGAAGAAACACGCCTAACATAGGTGACTCCGCGCAATGCAAGTTTAGCGTTGTGCACGTCCAAAGCCGCATCGCTGAAAAGCCATCGTAACATCGCAAAATGATTGGGATGTTTGTGGCTACTCAATTGGGCGGGCTGAGAAGGTGATCCTAAGCATAACTAACATAATGTATTTATAGTCGAACACTGTACTGTGTGACACTCTCTCAAAGTTCTTCCCACGATCCGGAAATTGAAAACAGGTAACATAAAGCATGTATTTGATAAAGCATATGTGTAAATACATCTTCCCCAATCAAGGTCTTCCAAGCAAATTGCCCAGCATATAACCCATATCTCCCCTTTGACCACCTCCAACACCAATCCACCAAACACTCAAAGCTGCAACCACAACAAGTTCTGCAATACCCAGAAGAACATTTCCTGCACCTGCAGCCACAAGTGCACACCATACAAATCCAACTCCACGATCCATAACGATCCCAATCGAGCGTTTTGTACGCCAAGTAGGATCGATAGCATAAGGACGCAATGACGAATCTAAATGCTTACCTGATGCGTTTGGCAATTTGAGAATGGCTGTGACCGGTTTATGATCCGAATGAGTGTATCGCATAATACTGCGGAACAATTCAGGTTCAACGCCATGGAAAGCATCATCACGTTCAACGCTTGCCCAAAGGATACGATCTGTCCATCCAGGCACACGTTTTCCGCTCAATTCTCCGAACCCATTCGGTCCTGTTGGAGTGGGTTGTATAACCTCGAGATCTGTTCCATCTCGCACACTTTCCTTCTTTGCCGCTTCTTTTGCTTTTTTGCGTTGTGTTTTATCGATTTTGTATTTGTACGTTGGCGGGAAACCAAATCCGGTCACATTTGGTTCAACCAATCCATGCAATGTACGTGGTCCACCGGAATGTTGATGTTCGATCGTCAATTGATCGTACGTTGCCAGCGTTTTCCAATCGGCTTGATTGATCTTTCTCTTTACGTCTTTCTTTGTTAGCTTTTCTGCTGCACTTCCTTTGCGTGCTAAGATTGGAGATGGCTTGATGTTGAAACCAATCCGGTAATTCAAATCACCAAAGACGAACAGGTGTGATGTTTCATATACACCATGTTCTGTCTGGTCCAACGGGACAGCTTTTTTGTTCTTTCCATTCTTACTGTATGCTGTTTCATACTTTTCTGTAATTCCATCCAAACTCTTCTCGTCGTTGGCGTTACGTTTGCCTACATCTATTGGCGGTGGTGGGAGAGGTTGAACACTATCAGGCGCAAATACCAATCTGGAGACGATGTTCTTCCAGTCAGCATTTCTCCTTGCTACATTATGATCATGTGCGGTCAAATGAGCACAGACAAATGTGAACGTCTCATCTGGTGATCCAGGAACAGCGCCTCCGACAACGATACGAACACCAGCAGCACCTTTGTTACCTAGCAAGTTGAAGAAGCCAGTACTGACTGTACTTGTTCTAATCTCCTTGATACGAGTGACTGCACTGGGAATCGCATTGATCCCCGATCCTCCCATCCCCACCTCTGGTCTACGTTCACGAGCATATACATAGAGAACAATCCCGACAACCTGAGCGGTTGCGACCAAAGTATAATCTTCCGGTCCACCTCCTTGAGGATATTTACCATCTTTGCGTGTAGATGCACTTTGTGGTCGAATTGCTCTTCTGATCGCACGATCGGTGTTCTGAATTGCAGTTTGGGCATATCCATTATTTGCAAAGCCATCATGTAAAGGTAATAATTCTTGGAAACCTACAGCGTAAAAGTCAGGAGCAGGTCGGCCATCCACGTTAGGATCTGTGTTGTACTCATTGGAACTTTCAGAGATTGTTGGAACGAGCCAATGTGTCAAGTCAGGCGAGGCACTAGATGCTCCCTGTAAATTGCAGTTGAATGTTCCGATTTGCACTCTTGTTGGCGGTAAGCCAGGGGTGGAGAATGACTTGGACATCTCTAAAGCAGTCGAGGTGGGAGTGATGACGGCAAGAAAGAAGAAGAAGAATAGGGTTTTAAACGACAACAGATTGTTGGTTTTGCGGATGTATGATGTTAAGAAGATACTTCGCTCTCCACTCCCTCTAAGTGACCCCGCATTTGAAAGGAGGTGACACCATTGAAAGCGAGAATTGGCCCTAGGGAATAAAGATTAGCCTGAGAAGAATGCACTGCACAAGCACACGCACACGCACGCACGAATCCCGTTCCCGCAAACAAAATGAAAAAAGCTAATAAAGAAGAAATGATTTCTAGTGGGCGTACCTTATTTTAGGTTTACATACACCAACATCATCATACAAGATAAAGAGAAATGAAGAGGTAATCAAAATCAGAAAAGATGAACGAAAAGGGTATGCAAGCTCCCTCTTCTCCTTCTATACAGTCAACTTCGACATACGGCAAGAATGTGGTTTTAACGGAAGCGGGTAAATCACCTTGGTACGATGCAAACGGTACGCCGAGAGAGGCATATATAGTAGGTGTGGCAGGCGGAAGTGCAAGTGGAAAGACATCAGTTGCCCGTGCGATCCTCAAACAATTACGAAATGTACCTTGGGTTGCAATCGTAAGTCAAGATTCATTCTACAAGAGTTTGACAAAAGCACAAAGCAAATTGGCTTTCGAAAACAATTATGACTTCGATCATCCTGATGCTTTTGATTATGAAATCTTGTATGAATGCATCGAAGATCTCAAAAGAGCTCGTGCTGTGGAGATTCCCGTTTACAGCTTCGTTGAACATCAAAGGACGGCAGAGAAGAAATACATGTACGGAGCAAGTGTAGTAATCTTGGAAGGGATCTTTGTCTTACATGATCCCGCTATTCGATCATTGCTGGATCTCAAAATATTCGTGCAGTGCGACTCGGATCTAATGCTTGCAAGACGTATTAAGCGAGACATGATCGAACGAGGCAGAGATTTGCATGGAATCTTGGATCAATATTTACGCTTCGTCAAACCGAGTATGGACAACTTTGTTTCTCATACATCGAAGTTTGCCGATATCATTGTGCCTGGTCAAAACAATCAAGTGGCTATCGAGGTCATCTGTCAGCAAATAAGAAAACAACTTGAATTGCGTGACGATGTTCGTCTCCGACACGCTCTATCACGCACACCAGCAACGCCTCGTCGGGAGATCGGATCGCCTTTTGATACAGCTTTAACTTCTGCAGGAGGTAATGGAAGTGCATGGCATCCAGCCGGAGCCTATGTGCCTTCGTTGACCACCTCTGGATCCCAAGAGCATAACGCACCCGGATTTCTGCTTGCACCACCGCCCTCGGCTCATGAATCTTCTCACCCCCTCGAAAATGAACTGCCACCAAATGTTCACGTTCTGAAGCAGACGCCTCAATTGCAAGCCCTACTCACAAAAATGCACGATTTGAGCGTTCTTGGCGAAGATTTCGTTTTTACGATCGATCGCTTGTCCACTTTGGTGATGGAAGAGAGTATGGCATTCCTACCATATCGTCCCAAAACGATCCAGATCCACAAAAGCGGCCAAACACACACCGGTACGGAATTGGCAGTACAGGATATTTGCTCAGTTGCAATCTTGCGATCAGGAACGGTGTTGGAAAGTTCTGCCCGTCGTGTATTGCCTGCTTTGGCACGTGGAACAATCTTGATTCAATCACAAGCAGATGGAGAAGTTCGATTGTATACGATTGACTTGCCATCTTTCTTACAAAATCGAAAACGTGCACAAGATGCATGGGTGATGGTATTGGATAGTCAAATCGGAACTGGTGCTGCAGCATTGATGTGCGTGAGAGTACTTTTGGATCATGGCGTAAAGGAAGAGCATATCTTGTTTTGCTGTTTGCTCGCAAGCGTAAAGGGAGGTGTGCATGCTATGCAAAAAGCATTCCCAAGAGTAAAGATTATTGTGGCAGGCGTCGATCCAGATTTGAAGAGAAGAATTGTATGGAGTGACGATGCCCCTAAACATCGGTCAAAACCATCCAATCGAGCAATCAACATGCCCAATATCCAACTAGATGCATATGATCCCACGCAAAGGGCAATGGCAGATGTTGTTGCCTACAACGAAGAGAATTCATCGGACGACGAAGAAGACGAACGATCACGAACCACTCTACAGAAGCGATCTCACCTGACAACACCGGCAGAAAGAAGTCCAAGTCAGCATTCCAGCAGCAGAAGAAGTCGCGTTTGCTTTGCCATTTGTCCGGGAGCAGGTAATATTGGTGACCGATACTTCGGAACAACTGCTCGTCCTACATTGGCTACCGATGCATCTTAAACAACATTGTACATTATTCATACACACACATTCCGGAACGCAACCTCTCACTACAATGTACATACATCATATATTTGCATAATCCACAAGATGATTAAAGAAATAGAAGACGAAAGGGAGAGAAAACGAAAAGATTAATACATATACAGTTACTAATGTACTTTGTTCCTCTTTGGGTTACAAAGTTATGTTGAATTACGTCCGATGGACTAAATGCCCATAATGCCCTGGTACTTTGTTTTTACATTGTTCACAATCATCACGATAACCCATCGTATATCGAAGCATTTGTTTACCGCCCGGAAAACCTGCTGAGGACATTCCTGGCGAAGGGTGTAAGGCCCGCATTGCACCATTCCCATCACTGCCAGGTTCAACAGGCACAAATTGCGGTCGCGGAGATGGTGTACGAACCACACGATCGCTTCGAGAAGTTCTTCGTAAAGGAGTATTGCCTTGATCATCATGAGAGAATCTCCTATTCGAATCAACTTCATTAGTAAGTGCAGACACAGACCGAATTGAAGAGTGTGTCCAGCTTCTACGTAGCGCATACGTTTCTTGAGATGTCCCGGAATTTGACCTTTCCATCATCTTGGAACTACGTGGAGAAGAGCTCCCGGAATCCGTTGAGCCAAGCCCCTCTGATTGCGCCAAAGGAGAAGGTCGCATTGGCATACTGGCATTACGCAATTGTCTAGGCACAAACAAAGGTGACGCCGTAGATTGCGTAGAATCCCTTGGCAATTCTATTACCATCGAAGAAGGACTTCCTTGACCACTCGTCATATCGATGTCATCCGTTGTACCTTCCATCTCGCTCTCTTCTTGCTTTTGTATAGTATCATCGACCGATGGACTCCTGCTGATCAAACTCAAAAGATTCATGGGAGAATCTACGCCGTGTTCTGATGTATCATACATCCCACTGAGAATTGCTTCGCCTGTTTCTGCATCAATTTCTGCGATTCTTGAACCAAGAGCTCGAAAGAAGTGTGAATCGGAATCCCGGCTTCCTTCGGCAGATGTACCAAGATGTCTCCGTTTTGATCGACTGCCGAACAAGTCCTCATCCTCTGATAGATCTCTCATGAAGCTTGATGATGCTGATAGACTCACATCATCCTGAGATCTTCCGCTATCATGATGATACAGTGGAGGAGCATGTATGCTTCTTTGTCGCTTCCTTGCCGAGCTTGATGGACCTGCCGTGCTTAGCATATTGTTTGAAGAAGTACTGGCGATCATTGTATGCTGAAAAGGTGATCCATTCCTGCTATTGGATGAAGAAGATGGACTATTGAGATCTACTTCCATGATTGCGGTTCACTTGGCTTTTCTATTTTTGAGAAAGGCGCAAACAGGTGTGCGCCTTTTTTCTGATTGTTATTGTAACCCCTTGTTTGATTGTTTTCCTTGTGAGCACACACACACTCCACCTCTTTCTTTGTGCTACACAATTCCCTGCAATCGACCTTTCGTCAATCTTAGACTTTAAGATTGTTCATTGGGTCAATAGCCTTTCAAGAATATCTTCTTGTGATGATGATGAGAGTGCAAGACAGCATTTGAACATGGAGAATGTAGAAATTATCTTTATTTTTCAAGCAGAAGAACAGTGTGTTTTTTTTTTGTTTGTTTAGTAGGAGAACATGCACGGACGTTTTTGGTTTCTTCCCCCGGTCACAACTTTTTATTCAGTCAGATCACAGAAGAGAGCAGCCAATTTACGCGAGTTATGGAAACACGTAAAGTCCAATCAAGCACATGATCATGATGATGGATATCATACTATGAGCAGATCAAGACAAAGCATTTTCAGATAAAATACAATATTGGCATACCTTCTGGAGAATAGATACAGCAAAAATAAGCATTTGACATGCAATTTCGGGCTTTTCGATCCAAGGAAGACCCCCTTTCTCTCCCCCTTTTCTAGGAATTGACCTCTTCTGTCGCATCGATCCACTCGGAATATACATCGATAGGTGCAGTAAGGGAATTTGTTCGGCAAGAGAATCGTTGTCCGCATACCTTGCATTCCAGATTGGCCTGACCATCGGCGCTGTGAAAGTATGTTTGGGTAAATTATTCATTCAAGGGTTGCTTTTTGCAAATTATAATTCCTGCAACTCACATTTTGCAATTCACTGCTTTTTCATGCTTGCAAAAAAGGCATTTGAAGACTATAAATGCGTCAAAAGTCAGCTTGTCATCCTTTTGATCTGCATTGATTCTGCATACATACCAACATCCAACGGTTGTACTTTCTTCGCTGCTTGAGGCTTTGTAGCCTTTTTTCGCTTACCCATCTTTACCTTGAGATGACTCCCTTGTGGTGAAGATGGTGGTGTATCGTGAAAGGATGAGATGATGGTTTGTATTGAGTGTGATGTCGCGCGCGAGTGTCTTTTACCATCTCTTACTCTGAACATCAAACGGCGATTGCAGTGTGAATAAACGCGCAGCGCCCTGGCCCTGAACTAAATTCAGTAAGCTTGCGCTGCGCCTTCTAATGTTACAGGCATGCATACAGGAGACTTAATCTACGCTAAGCACTTCTCTCACATGCCGCCTTTCTTTTGTCAGAATTTCTCTCCACATCCTTCTATCTCTTCCTCAACTCAGCTTGTGATCAAAGGCTGACATTGAGTATCTTACATTGCAAAAATGCAACAAGTGCTCTTGTCATCGTTTAAAGGGTTTGATGGGGATGATGGCGATCAAGGTGGCGGTCCACGTTTACCACCAAATATGCATTATGAAGGGCCATGGCTTCAACAACAATTAATCCTTTCTGCAAGTATTGGTATTGCTTCATTTTTGATCTTCTCATTAATCAGACGAAGGTCTCCGGCACTCTTTGCCCCACGTACCAAATTAAGAGGGTTTGCAGCACACGCCAAAGGAATTGACGATGGCGTATTCAATTGGATTCTGCCAACACTTAAAACGGATGAGATCAAAATTCTACATATAGTTGGCCTAGATGCTGCCATTCTTCTCAATTTTTTCAAGATGGGCTTTTGGACATTTTTATTCTTAAGTCTTTGGTCTTGCTGTGTATTGATTCCTGTCAACTACTATGATCATGGATCGATGGAAGGTGTAGCACCAGGAGAAGAGCCACAGCCTGAAAAGCCTGGCAATTTCACCGAACTATTTTCGCTACCTGGTGACCCAAGTTTACCGTGGCTATGGAGATTGCCGAATCTTTCACTTTATCATTTCACTCACCTTTTATCAACATACATTTTCACTGCCTTGATCTTGAGATCTGTTTACAAAGCATACAACAAATTCGTGCGATCGCGTCAACTATATGCGCTCGATCTTTTGCAAAGCATTCCGGCACGTACGGTGGAAGTACGCAATCTACCTAATCACCTTCGTAAAGAAAGGGATTTGGCAGAATATTTCGAGACCATGGGGTATGCTGTCGAAAGTACAGTGGTTGTACGAGAAGTAAGAGGCCTTAAAGATATGCTGACCCGTCGGGCAAATGCACTCTATCAGCTTGAAAATGCATGGTGTAATTGGCTCGGTAATCCTACCACAGCTGAATCATACGATCCTGATCAAGTGTGCAAATTGTCACAAGATCGAGCCCATGCTCTTGCTGAGGGTGGTGAACGAATGGTTTTCGCTGCCTATGGCGGCAACGTTTCCAGCACCGATGATGAACGTGCTCGTCTACTTGGTACTTCCGACCAGCTTCCCGATCCAGCAGCTGGAATCACTGCTCCAAAGAATAAGCCTAGACCAACAATGCACGTTCAATCCTGGAATCCGTTCTCCAGAAAGGTAGATGCGATCACTCTATTGGAAACACGATTCCGAGTATATGACGAGGCAGTGAGACGATTACGCTCAAAAGGCAGCAAACCATCTTTTGTCGGATTTGTGACATTTGTTGATGCAATGAGTGCTCAGGTTGTTGCTCAGTCTGTTCATTACCCGATCCCGGGCTATTGCAAGACAAGTCTTGCACCTGAACCTCGTGATATCGTTTGGAGTAACGTTTCCGTTCCCTCGAACGAGAGACGTGTCCGACAACTTCTCGTTTCCGCCTTTACGATTGCTTTGTTCGTCTTCTATATTCCGCCCTTGACATTCCTTGCTTCTTTGCTCAGTCCAAACACGATCAAGAAGTACTTACCAGGTTTGTACGATCTTCTACGCAAGAATAGACGATTGGAAGCATTGGTCAGCACCAACTTGCCGTCCGTTGTTTTGATTGGGTTCAACGCTTTATTACCTCTCATTCTCGAATGGACAGCATATCTGCAAGGTATCAAAGCGCGTAGCTTGATCGAAATGAGCGTGTTGAAAAGGTATCATCTTTTCTTGATGATTTCCGTCATCTTCATTTTCCTCATCACATCGACCGCGTTGGGGGTACTCACAGATCTGGCTGGCAATCCGATGAGAATCATAGATAAGCTCGCTCAATCTTTACCACAAGCACGTCATTTCAGTTTGTCGTACGTGGTGTTCCAGTCGTTGGCCATCATACCGTTGCAGCTTCTACAATTACCGGTCACATTTGGTCGTGCGTTTGGTCGACTGACGGCAAAGACACCTCGTCAACATGCTGAGCTGAATGCACCACCTCAACTATACTCTGGAAGTGTGTACCCTGCCGCTTTGATCGTTTTCACATTGGGTATTCTTTACAGCATTGTGACACCATTGATCACCGTCTTTGCAATGATCTACTTTGCCTTGGCATATCTGGTGTACAAGTACAAACTCTTGTTCGTTTTCTACCGATCATACGAATCAAGAGGGCAAGCATGGCCTTTGTCATCGATGCGTTGCATTTGGGCTCTACTACTCTTTCAAATCTTCCAACTTTCCCTCTTTTCGGTTCGCAAGCAGTTGCTATTGTCCACTTTGACGTTGCCTTTGATTGCTTTCACGTTTTGGTTCCAGCATTACCTCTCGCGAACATTCACAGAATTGAGCGAGTATGTTAGCTTGAGCAGCATTGCCGAAATCAACAAGCCAAGTCTACAGCCAGGAACGGGAAAGGCACAGGCAACGCTGGCACCATCAGCAGAGATCGCCAATGCCGTCGCCAATAATGGATCAGCGAACGACAACAGTAAGAAGCAACAAGTTAGTCAACAAAGAAATCCAATTGTTGCTCTGCGAGCGGAAGCTTTGGATGGAATTGATCCAAGCGAGACAGTGTTATCACGAAAACGGTATTCGACAAAAGATGAAACATTATTCATTGCACAAAAAGATCGTCATACAGATTACAGAGAACCTCCGGCAGCGGGCTACTATTATGGAATCTTGAACACTGGGCGGAGACGGTATGGACATCCTGCCGTTGCTGGTACATTGCCGGACATTTGGCCTCCAGTTTGTGTAGATGATGACGACGAGAAAGATGATAACGAGCAAGATCAAAGCGTCTCTCATTCAGACACTGCTGGTTTACCTGCCGATAATAGCGATCGAGGATCATTGACGGGCGTTGGTAGTGTGCTGGGAAGAACACGAAGACAGAGCAGACCACACGAAGCTGTTGTGGTCTCTTTACGAAAGCGCAAATCATCTTTGATACCTTCTTCAAGTCTGTCAAATGTCTCTGTGCGTAATCGTAAACTGTCATCGCAAGAAGCGGGTGGATCAGGCATCAGTGGATTGCCGGCTTCTACCAGCACTTCTACCGATGTAGCCGGTAAATCATCCGTCACATTCCCTCAACGAAAACAAAGACAGCCACAAGATACCCTGGATGAATCATGTGAAGAACCAGATCATCAGCATGAAGATCCAAGTCAAGTATGGGGAGCAAGCAGAAGTCGTTTGCCGTCTACAGCAGAGCAAATCGAGGATGAAGGTCAAAGAATCGACGAACCACAACACCTTGATGCCGATACGGGTGATGAAGACGAAGAAGATGAATCGGAAGAGACTGCGGGTGTCTACATGCATCGTAACTTACGTCAAACGATGCCTCCAGGCTCATTCCCTGGTTTTGAAGATTAGAGGATTCGCATAAAGCCATGTAATGATACCTAACGTTTTTATGAAACATATCACGATGTCACACATCACACATAGAGGGATGGGTAGAATTCAGACAAACACATCTTCTGTCTGCTTCCCGATGCATATGCGTTCTTTGCTTTACAACCTTTTGCCAATTGGACAACTATCCATACCACTCGAAGTCTATCTGACAGTCATTGATTATCTATTTGGACTTGTACGTTGTGATTTTGTCTTTAGACTTGGTCATGATGCGAAAATGAGCAAAGGTTGACTATTCCCATTTGGGCCTTAAGCATTTCCATCACGAACGCTGTGCTGGGAGAATCCGAATTAAGACCATCTTGGATAATGTTGAGGATCGAGACGGTCAGCTTGACGAAAGATGGCTTTCCATGCTGTAGGAAAGAAGGGGAGAGAATCATCTATGTAGCATCTCATAAAAGAGAACCCTCCACCATCTGTCGAACCTTTTGCAAGATACTTTCGTCTATCCATGGCAAATCACTCGCCTAGATTGAGGAGCATCAAGTTCAAGGATCGGAGTCAGATGGGCGACTTTTGAGGAGGGGAGTAGCGTGTGAGTGGAAAAAGGGGAAAGAGTGAAAGACCATTGCCCTTCACCATCTGTCTAGCTTGTTGCATGATGCTTTCATCCAGCCAAGGGAAAGATCGATGCTCAGAATGGAGTCAAATGGGCGTATTTTTGCGAAGAGCTGCGTGTGGAAGTGGGTGGTGGTAGTAGGATGAATTTAAAAAGGGAAATCAAGCATTTATACAAAAGGTGAACCTCTCTAGGGTACACGCATATCTACAGACTTTTCATGATTTATACGACCATAAGCCAGCAGATATGGTTATGACAAGATCGAAATTAGCAAAGGACTCTTAAAGTAGTGAGATATCGAAGCTAATCCATTGTGTCAGATCTATCAGATGAGAAGTACGCGCAACATATCATTTTCACGTTGGACTGTAGAATTGACTTTCGAACTATGCTTTACCCGTCCATAGAGTGCAACAAACAATTTTTGCCCTTTCCATTGTGTCAATCATGTATGCAGAGTGTATAATCAAAGACTGTCAGATGGACTTCCAATGGCGGTGGATGCTATTTTTAGTTACAAGTATACCTCGTCATTTACAGCTTGTCAGATCCGTTGATTACTTATGTGCCGTCCGTTGAACCTGATTTACCATCCGTTGAACCTGATTTACCATCCCTTGAACATCACGCACAGTCCGTTTGAAATGATGTACCGTCCATTGGATTTGATGTACCGTCCGTTGGACCTGATTTGCAACATCTACTTTGATATCAGGATAGCATCAGTAGTGCATCTCCATGAAATTGCATAAAAATGTACAAGCTTTTTCGTCTGACTACAAACGTTTAAAAGGAGGCCTTTTTTGAAAATTGAAAATCCCCCCTCCCCATTCATTCTTCCTTAGACTCACCAGTTCTCATCTTACGTTTTCCTTCCACATCCACCACCACCACCTCTTACACCCACCAATTCTCCTCTTACGACTTGCTTCCACACCCACCACCACCACCTCTTACATCCACCAACTCTCCTCTTACGATGAGCTTCCACATCCACCACCACAACCTCTCCGCTGTAGGTCCTTCAATCATTACAACGAAAGCACCGCCGATAGGATGACGATGAAGAGGACGATGAAGAGGACGATGACGATGACGATGACGATGACGATGACGATGACGATGACGATGACGATGACGATGACGATGACGATGACGATGACGATGACGATGACGA